GGAACTTTGTCAAAAATGACAAAATGTGGAGATAAATCCCCGCGACTTCGGGGTACACCTGCAAGTTGCAAATCATTTTCCCCAGAACAAAATCAATGAATAGTGCAAAGTATAAAATATGCCATGTCAACATGAAACCCCTGAGATAAAACCCTCCAACAGCCCAGAACACCCATGCACTGACCCCGTCATGCATAGCAATTGTCAGTTCGCCGCACTAATGTAAAGCCTTATGCACGGCCGCGCAGACTATCCACGCCCCACTATCACTGCACCGTCGAGTCGTATCTCCGGGATCGTGCGCACTGACTACCGCGCCTCCGTTCTGGCCGGTCTTCGAACTTGGTGGGGGTTGCTTTGGCGCTGGGCCCTTTCTCGCATGCTATGCATAAGCGTGGGGCGGGGCTAGGGTATACATACAATATACTTACTTCGAGTGAGGCTACTAGTTGTCCGTGCTATAGGCTTTCGGAAGTATATATTAAGTAAATTTTGATATAATTTTACTATGCACTAGTATTCAAGGCCCGTGCTGTCCCTAGACTTAACGCATCATGTATACCACCTAGATGTATATGCAATCGACTAAAGCGGCTGCCCCTGATCGTCTACCCAGTCTTGCCAGTGGTTGCTGGATGCCAAGATGTGTAAGGTGGTGCCACTTCCTCAGCAACTTTTTTTTTCAGATACAACGTCCGGCATACAGATGCCCCTTGGGAACGTGTGGCCCGCAGGGATGTTGGAAGGTCAGGTGGTGCTCGGTGCAGTGCATTGCAGAAGAGGCGCGTCTAGGATTTGCGTGACGTGCGACATTGCATAGTCAGCCCATATGCGCTGCTTGCGTGCGATTTTCTTAACCTTGAGCTATCAGCAGCTGCGGGCCAATCATAGTCGAGTTTTCTATCTTGCATCATAAATTTGAAATGCCCAGAGTTGAAACGGGTTGAAACGTCTATTCTGTGCAACACACGATTAATTGGGAGGGTTGGCATATCACAACTTCCAATTGTCGTATGGAGGTCTAATTGGAATGTTGCATACACATCGCCATCGGGTGTATTCGAGTGTGCTCCGATTAGGATATCCGGGCAAGATTCTATTCCTACAACCATAGTGCGCAAACCGGCATCTCTCATTGGCAGATCATCCAGGCATAATCATTGCCAACCAGACGCAAATCCTGGGGTATAACTTTATAGCCCGCGGGGTAAGAAAAGGGATCAGAACGCATGTCCGCGTCGCTCCGATACCCGGGCTCCGCATCAACTCCGAGTTCGCAAGATGCATCGTGAATGCAAGAGTTGACGCCAGCTGTATCTACGCGGGGTAGCTAGAGCTCTCTAGGAAACGCGGTGCCCCTCTCTCATTTCACAGCCCTGGTCTCTTTAATGCATACTCTTCACGCTTCATTTCCTTTTGTTCTTGGCAAGCAGCGATCGCAGTCTGGACAGGCCCGCTGCCCAAAGCGGGTGCGTGTTTTACCAAGGTGAAGCAGGGGAAGCTTATTCTTAGCAGTGTCGGTTTGAATTGCGCGAGATGATTCTCGGAAACTGGACCGGTGATGGGAGTCTGAGTTCAGCCACAGTAGCGCCCTCGGGGTGAGTTGCAGTCTGGAATGGTCGTCTGCGAGATGAGGCGGATTTCAAGGAGCACACCACTCCGTTAGAAAATATGTCAAAATGTGAAGGTTCAAATTGCAAATTGCAATGTGAGATCGCATCTGGGCGATCATTTCATGAATAGATTAGCAAATTGCTCCCATTCCATCAGAAAGTAAGACCCTAAGGCTGAACTCTGTGATCTCAAGGTTCACACATGAGCATGATATACTTCTGATAGGTTCTAGTCTGACCGCTTCGGCGCTTCGACCCCATAACACGTTCTACTATGTATTCAAGGGGTTGCGGGCCATGACCCGATTCGGGTTTCCCGTGAACCGGACAACCGATGGAGGGGTGCTCAGATTTCGGGATCAAATTAGAAAAAGAAAATAAATAAAAAAGCAAAAAATAGCAAAAAAAAAAAAAAAAAAAGCGCACGGAAGTTTCCAGGGCTCTCGGCAAGAAGGGGCTAAGCGGACGTTATCGCCCTGCAGCTCGGAATGTTGCGACCTTGCCGCTTCACCGAGACGTTCATATTGGCAATGAGGATCCAGAAGATGTATCGGGTACGCCCGTAGGCTGGATTACCCATATTCAGTCAGTGGATATCTGGCAGAGTTTTGCGGGATAACTCTATGAAAAGGAGGGGGTAAAAATCTGGAGATCAACAACATAGCCTTGTGCAGATCAGAAGAGCTCGAACTGTCAGAACGAGACTTCGGGGTACCCTGGTACCCACCATGCAAAGGGGTTCAGGGTTTCGCCAATCTCGTGGGATGTCCGAGGAGATCATTGAGAAATAAAAACAAATCGCCGCCATAACGCCATATGGTAGCCACCGACAGCCACCTATTTTGTTGGGATAGTCCAATGGAGTGGCAAAACGGAAAACTCTGCGACGCTAAGACACAACAAAGGGGTTGGTGGTCCGGGCGTAGGCGTTTGACGAGAATAGCTTCGTAGGGTAGTTCTAGAGCTCGGGATGGCTTGCACTTTGGAAATTTTAATAAATCATGGATTTGACCTGGTACAGCTAATTGGTGAGACATGGAGAGAGAGTCACCGTGGGGGCTGAAGGTATCGTGAAACGCGGAAAACCAATCTAGATATAAGACTTGGCAGAGTATGTGACTCTTACTCTATGATGAATATACAACATACATATTTCCAGACTTTAGCTTTTCAACGTATGTTGTATGGTTATCAAAAAGAATAAAGCATACTAAGAATTTATGAATGTCTTGGACAATAAAAAAATATGTATGCACGAGCGACCGGGGGGTCCAGACCTCCCGCCAAGGTGGACAAAAACCAAGGCAATCGGGGACTATCAAATGCGCCTTGACATCATGGACTATCCGCGTGGAATTACCACGACATTGTATACAATCTATACAATATAAGTCGTGATTTCGGATCTGCATTCGGACATTGGAATACTCTCTGCATTCAGTTACAATAATTCGATTGGAAATCTGAATAGCACAATCTCAAACTTCCATTATCTCCATATCTTCATACTCCGAACTCCATATCTCCATTATCTTAGTCCCGGCTTTTGGCGGCACCCTCGGTGGAGCTCATGTTATGATATAGATCCACCGAACTCCGGAGTATAGTGCACAATCAGTCTTCAAATGCACGTCACAGTGGGATTCCATACATAAACTGGGAAAATGGAATTCTTCTTTTGACATCTACGTAGTTGGACCATGGTCGTGTAGCGGGAAAGGAAATTCGTCTCGTTCCACCGCATATTCATTTGTAGACTTGATCCAAGGTTCCAGGAAGTGTCAAGCAAGTCTTGATAACAGTGTAGTAACAGTGTAGTATGATCAATCTAATTTCATGTTCTAGACGCTGTGTTTTTTGGTTCTTTTTTTTATTTTCCCTCATTTTCTTTCTCCATTTCTCTAGCCCCCCCCCCCCCATAGCCTTTTACATTATAATCCGGAAAGTAGCACGACGAGTAACTTTGAACCCCCTTAGCACCAAAATTTCCTATATGCAACACGGTGTCGAAGGGAAGGGATGGGGGTGGATATTATGCTTCTAGCACTTGCATGGGGCAATGTATCCCTAGTTACCTGTGCGTGAACAAAAAAAAAAAAGTTGTCTATCTGCCACAGACTAAAAATCTGGGACAAACAGGTTTTCCATGGGCGATCCATAAATCTTGGCCAATCTTTGGACCACGGGCTTTATTGATAAGGGAAGATCCGTACCACACACCACGTCTCAATGGCACTGGGGTGGAAGGGTTTAAGAGGATATTCGGTTTTCAATACCCCAGACTCATTTTGATGTGAGAATAAATGAGTGATACAAAAATGATATGCGTGTCAAAAACAGGGAATACAGGTTGAAGCAAAGTTAGTGTACATGGGCCTCTTTAGCGCCTGTGGGCTGATGGAGGCCTGTAGTCCGCTAATTTGTGACACTAGGGGGAACTACGAGTGCATTATAGTGATCTCGCAAAAGAGATCATCCAACGTGCTCGTGCGAATGGACCACATGTCGGAGATTTCGGAAAACTCAACCTTGGGAGGTTGGATATGTGATTTAGGATGTCCACGGATATAGTATATCAAATGCATTTGCCCATAAGAATATAGTAAAATAGAAATAGGTAAATGATAAAAATCTAGTAAATTATAATAAATTAAAAAAGAAAAATTCAGGAAGTTATCCCCCACCTATACGGGACGCACTGACCTGGAGTCTCTATGCAAAGCAGACGCACCTAGACAATAATTTTATGGCGCTTGGATGGGATCTTTATTTATCTTGTTCCACTTTTTTTATTTTCTGATTTCTCTCAAAAAGCTATAATACCGGATTTTTATCTCTCTAGATATTTTCTTTTTCAACCTCTTATCTTCTCTCAACGGTCATAGCGGAAATGGCTTGATTTCGCCACTATATCTCTTCCAAGGTTATCTGGTACTTCCAAGGTACCTTTAAATCACCTCACTCCCTTCACGGCTGTGCCGGGAGCTTGAACTCTTTTTCTTCTTTGACTCTTTTTTTTATATATATGTACATCTCTTCTCTCTGTATTTTGTTAAACTTTTCCCGATACTTTGGTTAATACTCGAACATACTTCAACGGTATAAGCTCCCTTCCCTTCTCAAACCCAATTCCTCTTTTTTTTTTTAATACTCTGGTATTACCTGTCATACCCTTCTCACTGGCACCTTCCTCAAGTGTCACCTCCCCTTTTATGCCCTGGTGGATTCCCATGGCATGTTCTCTTCGCCTCTTGCCACTAGCTCGCCACACATTTAATGACCCCTACTAACGGCGCAACTTCAAGCACTTGATTGTGATTGAAAGAATAGCCCTACCATCTACCATCTACCTTCCCCTTCTTGTGTTGAGACACACAAGTCGGCCGGATGCCATACACTGCGCCATCAAAGACGTTGCTCGCCGCGCAGCACATTGAGTACTCAAAACCAACCGAGCCCTGCGAGCGGCCCGGTTTAGCTCGATCCTCCTCGGGACGGGTTCAGACTTCCCGTTCATATTCTTCTACCTCATATACCCGTCGTCATCGGAGGAGTCCTTCGAACACCAAACCGACGGTGCATTCAGCTCCAGAATCCCCGGCCCGGGCCTCCCCCTCTATCGATCCACACGCCAGTCTCCGTCAGTCCCCACCACCAATAAGCAATGCTATCATCCCTCCTGGGGCGGTAATATCGCCTCCTGAGTCCGCACTGAACTCAAGTGATGAAGAATCACCATACCGGAGTGGTGAGGGTGTCAAATTTGACGAGCTGGAGGCTGCCGTTCGATCGATCAAACTAAGGAGGGAGAGTTCACCGGAAAGAATGGGTCAATCAGACCCAGAAACGTCGACTCGGCCTTCTAGTGCACAATCGACCGAGACAAAGCCCACTCGGCCCAAGCTCCCCCAACTACCATTATCCAAAGAAGCTCGCAAGATCACCCACTCTCGATCATCCACTGAAACCGCCATCGAGTTGGCTCGGGAACAGGCACTGACTAGCTCGCCCGAGGAAAGTGACGTGGAGATGTCGTGCAAGCCCCCAATGGTCCGTAAGAAGTCAGGTGAGCTTGTTCGACCTGCTCTTCGTCCTTCTTCGGCACGGCGACGACCATCCAGCATGCCTGGCACTCCCGTCTATTCCAAGGCGGTGCACTTTGACTCTCACTTGGAGCATATTCGTCACTTCCTTCAGCTGGACCGGCCATTGGCTGTCAGCACAGAAACCTCACCAGTTGAAAACCACGACAGCAAGGCTGAGTTTCCCTTTGGATCTGGTGCTGACTCGCGCGGTCCGTCGTGGGAGTGGGAGATCAAGCTTGCCAATTGGCCCAAGGATATCTCTTCACGTGACACTCGTCCGGTCCGCCTGGAGCGATTGTTCTTGTCGGCTGATAAGAACACTTTGATCGGCACTGTGGCAGTGGCCAATCTTGCTTTCCACAAGAATGTGACAGCTCGTTTCACACTGGATTATTGGAGGACTACCTCGGAGGTTGCAGCGGCATACTGCCATGATGTTCGCCGCCAGCAAGTTGCCGACGGGTTCGATCGCTTTTCGTTTGACCTCAAGCTCAATGATCAGGCCAATCTGGAGACCAAGACCATGTTCATGTGCATCCGCTATAACGTGGCGGGACAGGAATATTGGGATAACAATGATACTGTGAACTATCAGGTTGATTTCCACAAAGTACCCAAGACCCCCGCGAGCAAGCCTCCAAGTGGCGGATCTCGCCCTGCTCTTCCGCGCAGCCGATCCTTCACCAGCTCCCATAGCATGCGACCGCACTCCATGCCGCCTACCTATGATTTCCCCGACCTCAGCGATAAGAAGCCATTCACAAACTCATTCAATAACGCGAATGGTACGCCCTTGACTCGCACGCCCTCGGATGAGATCGATACGGTCGAGCCGCCTAAACGACGTGAAAATTCCAAGGCATTTGGGAACCGGTACGACTTCGGAGCGTCGCTGTCTGCTGCTATGCGGTCGAAGGCTCCTCTGGATCGGACCGCTCTGACTGCCCGTGCGAGATCTGGGGAGACCGTGGTGCCGGAGACCTCTAAGCCGACCAAGAAAACACCCAGATTTGAGCAGGGTCCTACTTCTGCAGTGAGCGATAATATCCGCACTGGAGCTCGTGTGGAAGATCTGAAACCTTCCTCTCTGGTATCTAGCAAGCCACAGCTCGAGTCCTCAGTGTACCAGGAGTTGGTCGATAAATACTGCTTTGTAAGTTTCTCAGCAGCAAATCACAGCATGACAGTTAACTAACTTCTCATAGTATGGGTCTCCGCAAGGATCGAACCTCAAGGCACACCCATCAATCTCCAGCGGTCGTGAAGGCGAGGCCCCAAAACATATCTCTGCTCCAGCCTGTCCTTCGCCGCCGCTGTCTCCTCGCTCTCCTGCTCCTCTCAGCGCTCCTGTGGCTGTCAACCCACGTGCCTCTCCACGGCCCTCGGCCTCCCCCTTGTCTTTTCGCTATTCTTTCAACCGCGGTTTCATGACTGATCCTCACTCTCCAACGGTCATTAGAGGGTGAGTAATATAGACTGTCATATGACAGCGTTCAAACTGGCTATGATCCTTCCGGTCGGCCTTCAAAGCATATCATTGACGACTTTCGTGAAGGGATATGGAACTAGACAGATCCGTTGGCTCAATCTCGGTCCCTTTGAACCCACCATGTATCAGCGCACTCTGATGGATGGATTTTCTTTTCTTCTTGACTCCCTCTCAACATTACCTGCTATATCCGCCAGTGGTTTCGACCAGCAGCACATGTGAGCGATTGTCTCTGCGATGCATAATAAACCGCGGACGTTTCGTTGGATCATTCGCTGTGCGGCTCGCTACCACCAGTTGTCGGCCCAAATTATCGACGTGACCGTTCCAGCTTTCATCTAGTGCGGTCATTCTCACGTCTTTCTGTTTTCATTTTACCTCTGCGTGTCGCTTCGGCCACGCATGATGACGCTACGATTTCTTTTTCCGAGGCATTTTTCGATTCTTTGCTGTTCTTTGCTGGATGGCCCTCCCTTTTCAACACAAAAAGTTTTTAGTATGCCTGCCTCCGCTCTTGATCTCGTCACATTCCACTTTATGGGTTTTTTTTGATTGCATGGTGTCTTGGCGTTCTGTCTTTCGTGTTTTTTTTTTCGCCTGTTATTCCGGTTTCAATTCTCCAATGCGGTCTACCTTGCTGGCTGGAAGTTGGAATGGGATGCGAAGATGTGAGGGTGCAAAGATAGTGATACACGACAGCCTACTATATGGGCAATGCGACGTAGTTTTGAATAACACGAGACATGATGAACGCGACCGACTGAATCTTCCTTTTTCGCTAGTAGTTTCTTAGACTAGCATTACCTCCAGTACCCAACAAAAATGCCAGCCACGCGGGAAGTTCACATTCATTTGAGTGGAGTCAAGGTTGGGGTATACTTCCCGATTAGGCTAGTGTAATTCACTATCTTATCAACACGTGACCAGTATCAATGTTGTTCGACGCTGGAAAATGCGGGCTCGGCAATGCCTGGTAGATGCGCTGGAAACCGGCCCTTCATAACGCCCTTTTTCTTTCCCCGCCGCCCGCCAATCACCACCGCATTGCAGAATGAGTAAATCTCTCTCGCTTACCTAAAATACTGACTTCCCGGATCACGCGTAATCGGCCTCCTTATTTAAACTGCCTTCCCCCTCCATTTAGTCATTTTCCTATTTTTCCCCCTCTCCTATCATCAACGCCAGCCCATCAAACGAGTGTTTTTCATCGTTTATCGTCAACACAGACGTCGATCCATCTAAATTTCAAGTACTTTCAATTCTTCATATCTGAAACTATGTCTGGACGTAAGTATTACTGTCTTTTCAGGTTGTTGTCGCTATATAACCTGTCTTTATTGTCGCCGTGGCGTGATTGAAGTTCCTAAAATAAGGAACTCATGATGTTCCTGTCGGCACGTGATTTGCACCTCAGGCATCAACTGCATCCCGCCTTCCCTAATTAGGAAAGGCCATCCACCCTTACACATCTTAACACAACCTCCAACCACCCTCACCTTCTTACCCTTCATCCTGTTTTATTTTATACTCTCCTCCCAGATATTATACCTTTCTATTCCGACACACATCCTCGAACAAAAACTAACAATCCCAAACAGGCGGCAAAGGCGGAAAGGGTCTCGGCAAAGGCGGCGCCAAGCGCCACCGCAAGATCTTGCGCGACAATATTCAGGGTATCACCAAGCCCGCCATCCGTCGTCTCGCCCGTCGTGGCGGTGTCAAGCGTATCTCCGCCATGATCTACGAGGAGACCCGCGGTGTGCTCAAGTCCTTCCTTGAGTCTGTCATCCGTGACGCTGTCACCTACACTGAGCACGCTAAGCGTAAGACCGTCACTTCCCTCGACGTCGTCTATGCCCTCAAGCGCCAGGGCCGTACCCTCTACGGTTTCGGTGGTTAGATTTGTCTTACGACATGAATGGCCTGGAGCGATCTTGCTACTCACTCACTGTGAGGTGATGTAGTGGTCGATGGGTTTACTTAATGCGCTACGGTGTGATGGGCTTTGATTTTTGCGGTTATAGGGTTTAGGGAATTTCTTTGGGGCTTTTCTTTTTGTTTCCGAGATTGGGATTGTCTTTTTTCTTTTGGGTTATGGACTATCGGTGTCCTGATAACTAGTTGCTGATAGACTCTCGGGTTGACTCCATGGAGTTCAATACAACGTCTGCTATCAGCCATTTTCTTTTACGTCGTAAATATCCTGTAGTAAATAATAAGAGTAATTTGAGTCGCAGACTGGCAATGTATGCTACCGATGTCATTCCAAGGTGGAAATTTACGGGCGGAGAATAGTCCCCCGCAACTTTAAAATTCCCCTTTCAGCACAGAGCTCACCTATAGGACATTGGTTTTCCCCTCCTTACAATCCCAGCCTCTTGTGCAGAATTTCCGTTGGCCTTCCACTCATTGCAAATATGGCTTTATCCTTGGTAAAAGCCGGAAGATTTTTCTTGCCCCATGAGACAGCCAGACATGCAGCGACCATCCTCGGATTCCCATCCCAAGCCTCCATCGCCTCAGCGTACTACGAAAGCGCATGCGTCGACGTAGCTAATTTGGCCTCTGTCATTTCGGTCCATGAACCAGTTCGACTCTATACGCGACCGGAAGATGTCCACAAAGCAAAGTCAATGGTTAGCCAAGCTATTACAAAATATCCTAGTAACACCTCGAATATCGCTGTCATTCCATTCCCCACGAACCATCTCTGGGTTCGCGACACAGGCCCTGTCTATGTACGTGGGGTTGGAGAATCCATCAAGCAACGTTTCGCAATCAACTTCCGTTTTAGTGAATGGGGAAGAAAGCATGATATTGGCCGCCACGAACGGGCTTCAGATGACCTTGATTGGCCTGTGATGACCCCGGAACAGATCGAAGAAAACGGAAGCTTTGCCCGCAGGGTTATCGTGTCTGATGTCTCCCCCTCCCCGGTGACTCTATTGGAATCACAGATTTGTTTGGAAGGTGGTGCGATAGTTGTGGACGGGGAAGGCACACTTCTGGCCACTGAAAGCAGTATCATCAACGAAAATCGCAACCCTGGTCTTTCAAAGACCGCGATTGAGACAGAGCTACGTCGGCTCTTGGGTGTTGAGAAAATTATCTGGCTTCCCGGGAGAAACGATCTGGATGTTACTGATGTACATGTTGACGCTGAAGTCAACTTTGTCCGGCCCGGAGTTGTCGTCCTCTCACGACCCCATTCAAGTGTGCCAAGGCCATGGGTGGAGGTCTATGAAGAGATCAGGGATATTCTGGGACAGTCAGTCGATGCGAAGGGTCGCCCTTTTGAGGTACATGTGGTAGACGAGCCAAACCCGAAGGTCTTTGGGATCTTGTCTTACAATGACCCGGCGACTAACTATGTGAATTTTTATTTCGTCAATGAGGGGCTTATTGTTCCACAGTTCGGCGACATTCGGCGAGATCAGGAAGCCCTCGTGCTGTTTCAAAAGCTGTGCCCTGATCGCATGGTTCGGCCTGTGTTTGTGTCTGCGCTTCCGTTGGCTGGGGGTGTTATTCACTGCGCAACACAACCAGTTCTTTTTGTGGATGAAATCAGTAGACATTCGAAATGATGATATAAGGTGCTCTCAAATTAAAAACACCCTGGAGCTTGAAGATCTGATTTCATTACTCAAAGAAGAAGTCCATGCGTCGATCCACCCTCGGCTATGGGGAAATCCTGGGGAGGAGCGGGGAAATCGGCCGATCTGACTCGAATTCATAACAACAACTCTGACATCAAATCGACAAGCGAGCTACTACAAAACTACTCGGTGATTTCTCGCTATTTCCGCTCGCGCATTCGCGCTAGAATAATGTCGCCAAAAGCCTGCGACCACTGCAACTTGAGTAAAGAAGAGAAATGTACTGCATCTGCAGGTGCTAGCCCGACATGCATCAGATGTAGTCGTCTGAAGATTAGCTCCACCGCCCGTCGGATGAAGCGGATGAGACAACGCTCTTCTGTCAACGCCTTCCCACATGGGGATTTGCGGGTTTCCAGTGACGTGTTGCAACATCGTCCCAAGCCCAAGGAAAGCGAGAGCGATGCCTCGTCTTCCTCATCTAGTCAACGCTCATCTTCGAGTTCGCCTCCTAGAGCTGATGAAGCTTGGACACCAGAAACCGATGTCGTGATACTATCCCCAGAGAAATTACTTGGCGCTCCGACCAACTTCCAAACGATGTCAGATGCGTTGCGCACCGTTATGGACGTGGAACAATTCTCAATCATACATTTACCATTCATGTTAGGAGATAGTTTTATTCCGGCATCTCAGAAGGCTGTTTATGTTATTTTGCAACTATCCGGCCCGATCCTGACTGAAGGATACTTGGCATTTCTAGGACTGATGTCAAATTACCAAAAGTCCCTCGTTGTACGGCGGGAAGAACCCGATATGTATAAGGCAGCGAAGGGATTGCAATGTCTGCGAAGTGTGAAAATCTCACATGACTACGACGCAGCTTGTATTCTCTTCCTGGGCCAGACTATGTACGTGTTCAATGTACTCACGGCACCATACTCCAGTACCGCCCACTCTATCGTTCGAAGCTCCCTCATCTCGGCCAAACCATGGCTTCCCAGATTGGTGACAACGCCTATCATGGACACAATAACCATGTCACCGATTTTGATCGACACGGTCGAGTGTTTAGTGCACCGTGAGATCCCTATAATCCGACTCGATCCTCAGCGTCGCGTCATCGTCGACCGATATCTTGGTCTCTGTGCAACACTTCTCCCTCATTTCTACGACATCTGCGAGTGCAGCAATGCCTTAAAGATAGAAGCTCCTGCAACCGGATCTGGATCACACTCGGCCATTCATGACCGACTGGATGGAATAGAGGAGACAATCCGACGTTGGCGACCCCAAACGCCTACTGGACTTTTCGACAGCTACGGCCAGAATGCAGTTTTATCAATGGTCACACAAGCAAATGTGTATCGTCTGGCAGGTTTGTTGATCATCCACCGGCTCAGATATCCGCTAGGAGTCGAGGACGAGGCAGGAGGGAAACTTGCAAATGGAATATTTTCTGAATTAGCATTCTTTGCCAAGTCGGCGGTCAATTTAAAGGAATCTAGCGCGTTGCCTGTGGTGCTTCCTTTGACGATGGCCATGCTTGAGATAAACGGGCCCGGAGAAATTTTGATAGATCGCTTGGCTACCTCATTCACAGTCCAAAGCGCAAGTGCATGGCGGCTCCAGGAATTTGTGAAGGTGGCCAGAGCTTCGAGGGAGTCTGGATATCAGGGCATTTGGTTTGACTTGGTTGATACACATCTTCGTGTTGCGGTACCGCCATAGCTCGAGTTGGTCTCAACAGCAATCCTTTTATGTATAGTATTATTTCAGATAGTTCTGTGTTATAATGACGTTGACCTTTCCGTTCCTCTATTGAATAGTGGTCATTATATACGCCGGGTCTAAGGGCATACGCCGATTCCAACACATGCATTTCCACTATTCTACTGTTGTATAACGATAAAGAAGTACTGGCTAGCATTACTTGAGCATTGGGCTAGAAAAATGATCTAATCGTACAAATTGTCACGCCAGTTGACAAATTTGCTGCACCTTACTCTCTATATTTAGTTACCAACAAATCCCCGCTGGAGTTTGGCCTTCGGTCTGTAGAATCCATGGGAATCATTCAGCCAGCTATCAACCAACAATTAAAATGCCTTTCAAGTCAAATCCCGAGACAAGATACCTCCAAATCCCTCCATGTTGAAGGCCGAGCTAATCTTGTAGATTGTCACTCATTCTATCAACCTGAAGCAACAAAGCTGTCAACAATGGAGCACAAGTTGAGCCTTCATTGATCGGACACTTCAGGGAGAGAAGGAGTGCGATCTGATTGAGCCGGCGCTATTCCTCTTAAACCCTCCCACTCATGTTCTAGCATGGACAAACTGACAATATCATGCCAAGCGCGGCGATGGTATATGGCCTCACGTTCGCGACCTTCATCCACAAATCCAAGCTTCCTGTAAAGCTTCAATGCATTGTGGTTGAATGAAAATCCACCTATAGTGATTCTGTGCAGTCCAGCATGCTGAAATCCCCAGTCCAGTGCCCAGTTAATAGCTTCTCCCCCGTATCCTTTCCCCCGGAACCCGTCCACAAGTGAAATTCCTATCATCGCATTGCGATGGTGGGAGTAACCCGATCCAGTCAAGCTGAAGAGGCTGATATGGCCGATTGGGACTGGCTTGGACTTTTGAACAGGTCGGTTCAAGGTTTGGGCCTCAGTCGAGGATTCCGTCTCTGGTCCGGGGGAATCTTGAGGAGGAAGACATATAATCACTCCTAGCATGGATTCTTGGATTACTTTGATGAACTCCTCTGCAGACTTCTTGTGAGACGGACGTGGAAGACGTCCAGTGCTCAGTGTTTGAATAGTTTCGTCGTTGATAATTTGATCATGGAAAAATGCAATGTCCTCTTCGGAGTTCTCTGCGGCTCGGTAGACGAGCCGGCTGGACTTGTGGAGTTTTCCAAGGGCTTGGGTTGATGCCATATTGAAAAATCAAGTGTTCGTATTGGAATATAAAATGCACTTGGGAATCATTGACAACTTTATAAAAAAAATAAGTTGCCTAACCTTTAGGTATTAACCAATGAGTTTCCAACATCGATGGCAATGTTGCATTGGGGTAGGCGCTATCAGTACCTAAACCCTATGGAGTAATCTCGGGGTCCCAATTAGGTATTGTAGCGGGGCCTCTTAAGGAATCAGCGGAAATATATTAATAGCCGTATTAGTATAGCCTGAGGCAACAATATAAGGTAGACCTCTTTTCTTTTCCATTCCTCGCATATATATCAAATGCTATATGGCTTAGGCATTTTCAAAAAATCTTGATTATAACACAGATGCGTAAATACATAAACACCACAAGCACTATATTTTAGCCCTCATATCAATCTTCAATGCGACCCATGATCCTTCGTCCAAAACCAATGATAAAGGCTCCTCCACTCAGCCGCTCCATCCTCAACGTAATCACCGACCAGTTCAGCCGTCTCATTGATTTCATCGGAAACCGTTGAAACAGGACCCTTCACATTATTCGCACTTCTGGCAGCATCAGCAGCGACACCACCAGAATTAGCATTCAGCAGCTCCTCGGCGCCCTCCCTTGTTCTTTCCGCTAGGTCGCGAGCTCCTTGGCGTGCGATATCCGTGTACTCCTCCGCCTGTTCGCGGGCACGCTGAATAAGTTCATCGGGCGTGGGATAGCGACGTCTTAGCATCAGAAGGAGATAGTAGCTCTTGACTATAAAAGCGTACACGGCGTCTTTGGCAAGCATTGTAAAGCCGTGCGAGAAGAAGCCTTTTAGCATTTCACCATGAAGACCGGCATAGAGCCCTGATATACCGTCCGTGCGGGCGATGGTGGCGACTGTGGAAAGTATTTCAGGGGTGAGAGAGGCAAGAAGAGAGGTCTGAGTCTTCTGTCCAGTTCCAGACTTAGATTTTGAGTCCGAGCTCATTACTTGAGCTCTGGTTTTCGCGAGGGAGAAGGGATATGTTATTGACGAGGCGGCGACTTTGCTTAGGGCCGCCAACAGGAAGGTCAAAGCTGGATGTGGTTTGTTGCGCTTTGAGCGTGGGAGGAGGCTCCGTTTGAGGAATTCATTGAGGAAGAACGTGAGAGACGGATTCAGGGTGAGTATCAGGGTGGCCGAGTATCCGGACCAAAAGCCTAGAATACCCTTCTCAGCACGGATGCGAGCTGCGATGTCACTTGTTGACAAGCTCTTCGCATTTTCACCCTTCCGTGCTGCAGATGTCTGCTTGCGCGCGACAATATTCGACAGTGGCGTGGTGAATAGCTTGGCAAACGAGCCAGCCAAGATACCAACGGCAAGTTCGTCGATTATCGGAAGGACTATATTTTTGCTCTTGGCAGCTCGCTCTACACCTACATGTGCGACTATCCTCTTCTGGCGGATGGCACTATATGCAAGAAAGAAAAGGAACGAATCCGCGACGGTCTTCCAAGTATCCTGTGCCAGACCAGGGTAGAAGCCGGCGACGCCTTGCTGTGCATATATCTTGCGCGCAGCATCCACCACGCTGGTATATTCTTCGTCATCGTTCTCATGGTCGTCAGATTTCTCGCTCGAGTTGCCGCTTTTCTGTTTCTGGGTTTGTAGACGGGCGACGATGACATTGAGGGGATAGACGACCACATTGGAGATGGCTGCGCCGACTGCGCCGGCAGTTGCATTCCCTAGAGCTGGGAGGGCTGGTCCACGGAGAGCAGCAGATTTCCAGTCGCGCGGGTCATGGGATTCGTAGCGGTAGGAGGGGTGGTAGACATCCTTGATTGCGTGAGCATGTTAGTATGGTCTGATGCAGTGTAGTTATGTGGATGTCGATGTCGATGTGGATGTGTAAGGAGATAGGACGAAGCAAGCTGGTTGACACTACACACCAGTTGGGACTCATAGGATAGCTTGTATTCAGCCATGGCTCTGCTCGGGCGTGTTCAAAACCTGGTGCTGGAGTTCAAAGTCCAGTTCTGGAAAATTGATAGTTGTTATTCTCCTGATTGACCCCTTCAACCTCTGATATCCGTTTCAACTAGAATTTAGACATGGGTGGTATAATTCCAAGATAATTCACAATGATAACAATACAGACAGTGGGAAGATTCCGAAGCTACGAACGTGATCTCTTGGATTAAAGCCGAGGTCCACCTCATGCGGAGGGATTACGTCATGTCGATCATGTGGTCCGTGATCAGGCCACAAGGCAGTCAATCTCTACATTGATGTACTCTCTACATACAACTGGAAAGGGAAAGCAGACTTCACCCTCCGCCTCTCATTTCAACATTCACTTATTCCTAGACCAATCCCCCCGATCTCCGATCCAAAAAAATTTAATCGAGGTCGTAATTCACCTCCCCTCGCCGAGTGAATGGATGTGCCCACTGAATCTCGCCGTCAAACCCCCAGTCAATCTTTTTGTCTGCGCATGCTACTATTGTATCCCCGGTGATCCAGGACTTGACGTAATTGGCGGAATTTTCAATTGTTGTCAACTTCACTCCAGCTCGGTTTGTGACTTCGGAGAGTGCCTGGAATAAGTACACGCCTTTGTCCTCGAAGGGGGCCTCAATTTTAATCTCCTTGAGGTGCTGAAATTGGTGACCCTCCGGTAGAGTAGACGCTGCTCTGCCATAGAGACTTTCGCAAAGCTTTTCACAGATGAGGATAAACTCGAGCTCATCGTTAATTTGGAAGACGTGCAGCTCTTCGAGTGACTCGGGAAGTAGCTTGTACAAAGGCAATACACTGTTATATATCCCATGGTCATCATATAGCATCCAGTAGCGACCTTTCAAGGATGACATCTTCGCTTGAGTCTGGACAAGATAGCCGGCTGATATTCGCAGTCTCTTCAAATGACGAAGCCCCGCGAGATTGAGAGGTTGAAGATACAAATCTGTGTATACCTTTCGGGCACTTCGATTGAATGACAGTTCGAGATAAGTCAGGGTCTGAGATGTGTATTGAAGCGCTTGGCTGAGGTCCGCAGATTTCAAGACCCAGTCTTTCCTCTTCGTCCACCCGCGTTCGTAGATGAATGTTTCCAACTTTTGTGTTAGTTTCAGGAGCCTTCGAAGGTTTGGAGCATCAAAGGTGCAATCACGAAGTTCAAGGTGAATGAGGCGAGGGAATTCGCGATGCACAGGCCTCAACCATTGTGGTTTGTTGGTCCATTTGGTGCCGAATACATGGGTCAACGTGGGAATTCGAAGAAGCACCATGAACCAGTCAACGTCGGCCGAGGGGAAGGTTCCGTCAACTTCGGCTTTCAGGTGAGTGAGCTTAGACAGTGTAGTTGTCTTTTCATTCCCGCTGTTGTGTCTCGAACGTATACCGGCGATACAGATCAAAACGCGTTCAATCAGGCTCCAGTCTGTGGTGGCAGGATCGCGTGGTGGGTCGTCACTCTCCATCGGAACCTCAAGACGTTCTAGGGAAGGCAGATACCCCAGAAGAACAGCTAGTAGCGCGTCTGACCGCGGTATATTGGACTCAAGGGCTTTGTGCATCGAGTCCCTCATTGTTGATTGCAATGGTAACTTCTTGCCAGCATCCGTGATTATTTGATGGTTTTCTGGACTGAGAGGCGCAAGAGCGAGTTGTTTTCTCTTTGGTTGGGTACTAATCTTCCTGTGTGCGTAGCAAAGGTCGTGTAGGTCAGTCAAATCCAGGGACTTGACAAGTCGGGCAAGGTGGGGTTTGCGGAGGATAGTGAGAAGAAAGCGTTCGATCTGTATGTTCAGCATAAGAATATGCAAGTAATTCTTGGAATAAAGGCATTGTACGGAACGACGATCGGCGGGCCATGCCAAACCAGGCCAAATGCGGTAATGAGGAGGAGCCCCCAAAGATACATGGGCATATAACGCAGGCATTGCCATGTCATATAGCTCCCTATTACAGGCAGCCACGCGGCTCAGGGTCAAGGTGTCCCGATCAAGCTGGTCAATGATGAGAAGCTTGACTTCTGCGGGGAGATTCTGGAACTCCGTCTTTGGGGTAGGAGAGGTTGGATAAATGAGGGGGAGAAGAGCGACGGGCAAACAGAATGCCATGTTTGTGGGATAGGATCCGTGTAGGTGGTGGAAGAAGAAGAAAGAAAAGCTGGATCAGATGGAGCAAAAGGTGATTGTGTGTGTGAGTGATGGAAGGTGCAGGAGAACAGACTTAAAGTGTCTGCACAACTTGTTTTAAACCTCACCTGGGCAGTCGCTTAGTCGCCATCACGATTGCCTATATCGTCAAAGTTCTGCCTAGTTAGCTACGGAGATTGACAGTAAATATAGCATGACATTAAACATATCGACAAAGCACTCATTCAGTCTGGCCTTTTAGATAAGGCCAGTGGCTGCATTTTAGGATTGCGCATGAGAACAACTTCACTCAACTCTTTTAGACTGTTTTCAAGCAGACGCCTGACCATAAACAACCCAAGAAGGAATTCAATTATGAAACTACAAATCCTGGCTAAGGGTTTCTGTCAAGGTTCCTGAGCAAGCTTTCAATCCGGCTGGGATTCCGCCTTTACTGGTAGTATAGAGGACTGTCCGAGTAGAAAAAGGAGGTAGATGGCCATCTGAGGAGACAGGGCTCCTGGCTGTGAGAAAACGCACGTCAAGGAAGAGTAAGAGGGATGGTGATCGGAATGAAGAGCTGAAGAAACAATTTCCCTCACCTTAGACTACAATCTTGGAACTCATGATAGCGGGATTTCAAGGTTTATAATACCTTATATAACATGAATTATCGAGGCGGATCATTTAGATACCGCCGTATACTTATGAGTCCAGGTATCAATGTCGAAGCACACAACATGACAAATTTGATACCGCTGCAATCGATGACCTGTTCATTGCCAATGAAAGGTGCCGTGGAAACAATAGCGTGCTTGATTGCAATGGAGTCACATGTGTCGCCCTGAATGGTAGTGTAGGCTAGGTTGTAGGCGAAAAAGTCCAAATGACAAGTGTACACAAGAATTTGCATACATAGGTCTCTGAAAAGATACAGGTCAATTTGATGAGACTACATTCATAGATGCATCAGATCAATACAAAAGCCAATCGCTCACGAAGAAGGTTCCTTTGGTATGGGTTTCAAGTTCTCTCATAATTTGATGAGATTGATAGGGATGAAAATTGGCGCCCAAAGAGCTTTGTACGTCTTCACATCGCTTGGCCCTAGTAGGATGTAGATAAACAGCGTACATTCAAACCACATGAGGCCATTCTGTATAGTGCTCTTCCAGAAATCATTGTAACAGGCAATACCTTCAGAAATGGTACACATTTCAGACATTGGCACCACATCTCCCAAACACGCGAGCCGGCAGAGTCGGCTGAGGTGAATGCGCATATAGCCTTCGTATTGAGTAACTGGCTCGTATTTGGGTTCGATAAATGTCACCCAGGTGCCAATTTCCTCCGTTGCAGTAGGCTCGGGGTACCTGATAAATGATTTCAAAGCCCCCTCGTCGATAATCAGACATGAGCGAAACCGGTTACCAAGAGCTCCGGGCTCGTTATCCACGAAGTCTTTGAAATGCTCTCGGACTTGAGCGATAGTAGCTCCATCAAAGCGAGTCTTGTCTTCGAATACGAGTCCGCGGTACCCATCGCATATAAGCCGATGGGATTGCTCCTGCTCCCATCGACCGTTATGGAATTCCCATTGTAGAGTAGCGAGGATATTTGCTCGGATCGCATCAGCGGCAGCTTCCCAGTGAATGTCGGATTCTGGGGTATAGACAGTGCGATATATGATACATCCCCAGGGCCAACGAAGAGGGAGCTCATATGACAAGAGTCCGTGGCCTCACACGCCGCTCTTCTAAACCGGGGTTGGAGTTTGAGCTGGCGGAGTCTCTGTAGTGTTCACGTTCCGTTTCCTCGGGTGGGAAATCTCCGGACTTGGATGACCATGGTGTGTCCCAGCTCTCGTGCACCAGAAAATCGGGACAGGGTCCAAATTTGGTAGTTCCGGTGGCACGACGAAAATTGAGAAGTGTGCAGTCGAGAAATAGCAGGAAACGCAAGTTGAGAAGAGGAGTACGCCAAGGCAGCGTAAATTACTACGCTAATCGCGATGCAGGTGTGGCTTCGGAAGCCGTGATTAAATAAGTCTAGATCCTTGAGGTCCAAGCTTATCTTGTACGGGTCTTCTAGCAATGCTATAGGTCAAGTGGGCAGTTCTCCGATGTATCGTCATCTTCAAAATGAGGTCGTAGCTGCGTCGAGTTAGAGTAGGACCTTCAAGCATCGGTGATAACCTTGGAAGTCGAATTATGCTTGAGAGAGACAATTAGAATTCTATTGCATCTATTCTATCACAATCCTTGACAGACGTGGCGACATTTTGCCAGCCTTATTTTGTACCTGATGGATATCAACCAATCAAGATTTCCGAAAAAGAGAAAGAGAACTTCGGGCATAATTTCATCCAAGTGTACCAATGATACCCACGCTCAAACCGAGCTCACTGGGTCTTCCTCTCATTCTGAGGCTCTGCTGCCACAAAGGCACCGTGTAGCTCTTTTGCTGCCTCCCACAACACCCACAGAGGAATAAAGACCCAGAGGGTGTTGAAAAAGAACAAGTACAGCCAAAGGTAAACCGGATCCTCGGTGGCCAGCTGCGTGCTTCCCGTCAGCCACTCCGGCGCAAAGGTCATAAATCCACCATACAACTCCGCCGTAGCAAGCATGGTTGAAACCAGCCACAGCCTCGCCTTAACCCCACCACGTGACTTGGCACTGATCTTCTCATTCGACGACCGGCACAGCAGATAGCAGATATATATCGCAGCTGGACCACCGAGGAAGACGGTCAATAACTCCAGCGAGACGACGGTCACATCGGCGCCAGCCCAGCGGCGGTCGGCCTTTCCATATTCCTGCCACAGACGTGAACTAGGTCTAGTCCCGTAGGCCGGACCATAGATACGAGTTGAATCGTTGAGGAAGAAGGGCTCCACGTTATTATTGTCAGCGACAATGGTGTAGCTGAAGAAGCATTCAAAGAGCCAGGAGCCTTCAATGAAGATGTGGGTGAGGGCATCATAGGCGTGCCAGAAGAAGAGGATGCGATCGCGTGTCCTATGGGCTGGTACAAGTTTCTTGCTCAGAAGTTGAGCAATTGGCATCATAGAAAGTGAGAATACGATACAGAGGACTGTCGACGCGTCCAAACTGAAGGACGGGGTGGACGCCATGGTGGATTTGATTAGTTGGAAATCGCGGGGGTCTATGATGGGCGATCTTGTAGAGGTCTGGTGGAACACTTTTTTTTAAATGTGTTCCATGCTTGGATTTAAGTGAAAGATGGATGGAGTGTCTGATAAGAAACAAAATAAATAGGGGCTGAGCTGTCGCGAAGATCAAAAGTTGACACCTCAGGCAGAAGTGGGTCACGAAGTGCAATTTTCTACAAGTACGGAGAGTATGTACATACTCCGTACTCTCCGTACTTTGTAGTTATATCTATCATTTAAGGGTTTGTTTGTGTCACTTGTCACTTGAAAGCAGTGTAATACCCTTGCATCCCTGTATCTCACCGCATATTGCAATGCTCTAATTCACTTGAGCCACGTCGACAGGGGACGAAGTGGACAGTCTCTACGCGTTCAACTTCACATCCAATCCATGATGGAAAACACAAATACAGGAGAAAATCTTATAATTCTCTAGACTCTCGGTCGCTGCATAGTTCCCGTCCAGCTTGTAGTCACCCAACGCCACCTTTTCTACACTTCTTTGTTTGCCTGCAGCGCACACGGCCTAGTGGCGCGTTATCAAAGAAAGATGCGTTTTAGAAAGGCCGTCTGCATTCTCCACCATACCCATTCATACCATTGATACAGCTGCTCAATGTATATACCATGTGAATGGCTGACTTGTAATAAAATACCTGTGGTTGGGTGCACCCATTGAATGGAATCAGCCCCGATCTCCGTATTGGCTCGGAACGCTTGGCGGATTATCACTCCAGGACGTCTCTTTCACGGCTATTATTGTGATGGCTAAGCGTTTTTTGGCTTGTCTCTGGGCAACACTTTGTTATATTTTACTGCCTACCTCAGTTTGGACCCGGTGAAAGGCACTCCGTTTACCTAGAGCTGTGGATCATGACCGTGGAGAAAATTGCTCCTGTCACAGCTCTTGTCCGTGCTCCCTCAAACAATTCACTCTCATTAGTAGTACATTTTGTCGTCAAAAATGCCTTCAAGTCTCGGGGTTCTTGATATCCCCGCCCTCGCCAAGGTGACACGGGATGTATACAACCAATGCCATATCCTCGCCAAGGGCGCTCCCGAAGGATTTCAGAAGCTGATAACTGAGCTGGGCTTGTTACAGGACATTTTGCACACCTTCGGTGATAAGGTGAGCTCCAACGCATCTTTCTTCGAGAAGATGGATGGGGATCGCAAACAGACGTTGGAACGATCGCTCGCTACTTGTCTCGCGACCCTACAGCGATTGAAAGAACTCCTTGGCCCGTTCAATAGCTTCGAAATTGGCGAAGGGAAACGTTTCTGGAAAAAGCTCAAATGGGCGGCACAACGAAGTCAGATCGAGGATATCAGATCTAATATCATGGTGCACGCTTGCAATCTGAGCCTATGTATAAGCTCTATAGGGAAGTGAGTGTGCTTTACTTGCTCCAATTCTTGGCTCACGGTCTAATCAGCTCAGTGACTCGCTTGCTCGTATAGAGAAGACAATGGTTCTGGCGATGGAAGAGGATAAACAGATTGTTCTCAGCACAGAGGCATCACCTGTTCGGGATACAGACTCCGTTGTCTCACCAATGAGCCCGGGCCCGGGCGTGGTGGAGCTACCAGCTAACAACGAAGAAGAGTGCCAAATCGATATAATCGATGAGGTCCGTGCCAGAATGTCGGATCTGGCTAATAACAGAAGCTCTATGGGGAGCAGCAGCAACGTCAGACATGCATCCACATCCTCAGAATCGGCGATAACTGAATCCGATGATTCGCTCTTTGATGGTAATTCGCCGACTTCTTGGTTATCCTTGAACACATCACCGTTCCTACCTCCTCCGGGCCGAATAAATCATACCCGAATGCGCAGTGAGCAGCTTCTCTTTGGTGGCTCCATCGACGGTCGGACACTCGATGGTGGAATGTGGGCGAACGATCCCGAATTGACGGAAAAACAAGTTGTACATCACACTAGATCCTACTCAGATGCTGAGTATGGCCATCCTCGCGTTATCGAGGTCGTGAGTTCCGCTATGCAACATCTTCGTGATGTGCGACACCAGGAGCATATCTCAAGGCCAGTACGTTTTGAGCCGCAGAACCAACTACATAGACCAACTGCGGAGACGTTGAAAATATTCGAGGCATCAGTGAATGAAGGGTTGCAGATCACAAGGCTAATTACAAGAGATTGGCTTCGCGTGGCGACTTGGTGGTTGTTGAAAGTGAGCTAGCTCTCTGTTTAAAACTAACGGGATACAACATTTACTAACGACTTGGCAAGGCGCGTGCGACTTTAGCAAATTGCAACAGACACAACTATGTCAGTGCCCGTGGCAGTCTGAGTCCCTCCATGGAATCAAGAGTGACTAGTCACCAAGCTTATCTTGACCTCCTCAAGGCTTCATATATCCTGTACGATATCGTTCTGGGGGAAGAGGTTTCTTCTTCTATTTTGGTTGATGAGGATCGCAAGTCAATTTTCGAGCTTTCTGAAGTTGGTGCTTTTCTATCGTTTCCTCCAACTTGTGACTAATTCAATATAGGGCATCAACGAAGAGCTTTCCCAATATACCTCCGTCGACATCCCCGAACCGTCGACTTTACATACCCAAAACTTTGCCATTTGGGAGCCCATGCAGCCGGAGGAAATATGGGAAGGCGGCATTGATCTAGATCTTGGCTTGGATAATTTGCGCTGGACCGCCGTTGACCTAGAGGATGCAGGTAGCGAACAGGAAAAGGTCCTCTATCGCACTTTTGTCAACGCCGGCATCGGGGGAAAAAAGTCTCGTATGCGCACCAAGGGTGCTTCATATATGCTCTTGTTGGCAACTAGGGAAGGCGAAAGCGAACCCAAGATCGTTCTTTGCAACCAAAGTGGCACTCTGTGTCTTGAACGAGACTGTAAGTGATGATTCTCACAATGCCCTCTTATGGAGTTGACCGATGATGCCAGTCGTACTGGATGATCTATCGCCCCTTGTCCAACTATCAAATGCTGCTTTGACTGGCTTCCCTGACGTCCGAGTCTCAGAACCTGTGCCATACAAATTTGAGAACATGACCGTTTCAATATCCTTTCAGTTTGATGAGGATCTCGCACAATTCATCAATATTCCAAAAGCTTACTTTGACGCCGTATGGCAAAGAGAACCCGTTGATGCAACCGGATTTACAGAGAGCATTATTTTCAAGACATCGGTTGATATGTTCGAGCAGTTGAACACGCCGACCATGAAATCAATGAACCCGCCTGTCGTGGTGAAATCCTGCGAGGTTCGCATTCTGGAACGGTCTTTCGGAGAAGCATGGCGGTCTATCCGACGCATGGTGATCACTTCCTCTGCCGCTGAGAAATCCCCAGGAACTATGGAACTTTTTATGCCTCTCAGTGTAGTTCAGATCAACCGAGGAAACATGTCCCGCCAGGTGCTCTTACAGTGGTCCGACACATGTCAGGTACGATCTGACAAGACCGATGGCAATTACAACGCCTTGCACTCCTACGTTTACGATGACACTGCTCCAAATATTGGTGTTGGTCTACAATTCGCCTCACATCAAGAGGCGGAAGATTTTGAACAAGCCGTCCTAGAAATGAGCTTCCGTCCGGATTTTTCCTGGTCACAGCCCAGTGGCTCCGGTCTCATCTACAATGTGGTTGATGCTGGCACTGAGCACAAGCAATACAAAGCTGTGCTGGTATTCCGAACTCGTTCATCGTGGCGATATTCAGACCTGTACTATATTTATCGCGACGCCGACTATTCATACGACCACTCCTCGTTCAGCATCCATTTCCTGCGCATGTACTGCACAGACTACATTTCAACTCACGTTGACCAGCTCTACCATCCAGAAAGCCCTGTCACATTCTCTCATTGCGACAAAAAGGCCAGCCAAACAACCATCGAGTTTGGGAATGACCTCGAAGCCCGCTCATTCCTCAGCTCCCTATCCCCTCTATACGAGCTACTCTACTCCAGGCCCATTCACTCGCTATCCACGAAAGGTAATTCGCTCTTTGGGTTCCAAATCTCCGGCAAGGGTAGCGCCGATATCCAACTATGGCGTCGGGGTACGACTTTCCAACTTGCCGCACGGTGGGATGACTCTGTGACGGACAAGTGGCTTACCATGGCTGTTCCATCGGAGTTCATCGATTCCTCAAAAGAGAATAGCCGAGTCACCTTTCCGCGTTTTCCTTACTTGCGTGGTACGACACTTGACATGATGAATGTTATGGCTCGGAGCCCTAAGAACTCTAATGCCAAAATCAGAGAGGGTACCATGTCAATCTCTTTTCAAACAAGTAAAGGTTAGTCGGCCTCCGCCCTTTTTGAACCAATACTTAACTCTTTCTATTGTACTAATTTGTATCTGAATGGATCATAGACCGAGACGAGTTTCTGGCTGTATTACAAGGGCAGCAGTTACCGAAGTTCTTATAATATAGTCTTGTCTACTCAGATAGGACGAACAAGTTCCATTGTTTTTTTTTCGAAGGACATTAGTTCTTTTTCTAATAGCACTTCGATAAAGGTGCAAGATCTCATGATTTCCTAAATGAAAGAATGGCCGTGCACGTGGGGCAATTTTTGGCGACAACGTTCCTTTTAGAAGGACTTTGCCCGCCCAGATGAGCGAGAATATCACTTGAGCATTCCATTCAGCCATATCTGCTGAGATGAAAAATATGGCAGTGACGTCATAGTTAACATGACTTCAGTATTATTGTTGGTGCCTGAGGTTTCAAGCCAGGGTCCCATGGAGCTGTAGTAGATTGTAAATAGACAGACCTTCAGTACAATAGAGCTAAATACTTAGGTATCAACGACTTTCCCAGAACTGTGCATCAATAGCAATCAACCGATTGAACAGTTGATTTCTTGACCTCATACCAGTGAGATGGTAAGACTGGCCCGTCTCATCACCGCTGACAACCAGTCCATCTGCAGCCTCCTTGCTCCCAGCTGTCAGTTCAACAATCAATTTCCCCTTCCACCCTAGTCCCTCCGTCTTCTTTAGCTCTTTGATCTCGGTGACAGGAATCTGGAACAAAACAGAGCCCTTCTTCCTACTTTCGATGCGGAGATCATCCAGTCCAGCGGATGCATATGTGGTGAAATACAAAATAGGAGGCTCCTTTGACGAGTCAATGACCGCCGCGCCTCTCTTGCGTTCAAACTTCGCATCGAACTTCAAGGGCCCGAACTGTGTTGCAGCAGCAGCAAAGTGTCCATCTTGCAGCATTCCAATCAGATTCTTGGTATGTGCTGACCCTGCAATGGCCATGGCTCGGTCAAAGGCTATATGGCCCTTGATTGCCGTCGCAATTGTGCGACGGAAGAACCTGAAGAGCTTGAATACAAATTTCTTCTTCGGCACCTTCGTTTCCGGGAGCGATGTGGTCGAGTTCGTCGACTGGAGGTCCACAGATGATCCCCGTGTACTGAGGTCTGTAGAGCTCGCTGCCTGTGACTTTTTGCGGCGGATGGGCCAAACAGGCTCGTCGTCATCACGGGAGGGGGCGGGCGGTAGTGGCGAAGAATTGATCTCGCCAATTCGGAGCAATGTCAAAGTGAGCTGCGCATTTGTGGGAACGCCAGCCAAAAGTGTCCTGTATCTCGGGTCAGCAACGCATTAAAAGGGTAAAAAAAGCGAGGGTTATCATACTTCTGCAAATCAAGATGATCTTTCCAGTTTGGTACTTTATCGTTCAGCAGATCAAGGGTATAGATGAATATTGGGTCCCCGAAGAAGCCCAGTCCAAGTGCGAAGCCAACAATCTTGATGATCCAATAACTCGATGTGAAAGGTACAATAACAGACACCAGGGTAAAAATGCTCGCAAGGCGGAGTCTAGATGTGACCAAAAAGAACGGAGGTGTTGGAGAAAGGATGCTGTTATATCGTCAATATCGCGTGTTCATATATCCTTCCGGGATGGACTCACTTGGCAAATTTCTCATATATATCTGTAATATCGCTGAGAATACGCATGACATTATCGGTCGCGTGTGCCACCTTCTTTTTCATGGGCTTCTTAGTCTTGTCTTCAGGGGAATCGCCCGCCGGGGTTGTAGCTGCAGCCTCGGCAGCTTCTAGGCTTTCAAGAAGCGCAGGTCTATCGGGGGCGTCCTCCGTAACTGTTTGACCATATTTGGCCGCTGCGCTTTCCATAGCAACGGTGGCAAAGCTGTCAACCAGATTTTTGGCCTCTTGTTCGGCGGCTTCACCCTTGTGGTTTTCTGGGGCACCAGTGAGGCTATCCTCGGATTGGGGTTGTCCCTCTTGAGAGCTGCTCCCAGTTGAGCCTTCTTCCTTTGTCAAGCCAGGGAATAGTACCAGCCGAACAGGCGGAACCATTATCAAGGCTACGACAAGACCGCAAATGGTTGGAACCAAGAGGTCCACAACCCAAGCAACGAAATAGCCCTGTAAATTATTAACATCTTGTAGAAATCCTGACTGTTCGTGATTCACATACTGCGCAAAACATTGTCGTTCTCGCCGGTTCCTTCCATGATCGCAGGCGAGTAATATGGCGGAAAAGCTCGGTCACTCCGACAACCACGGAGATATAAAATCTCTCAAGCGTCATGCGCAGCTTTTCAGGTGGAAACTGCTCATTTTCGGTGCGATTAAGATCCAAGTTCAGAGCAGCGGTATCATGAACCGCTTTCACATGGTAGATTTGCTGGTCACATGTCAGCGCTTATTCTCGACACTGGTGGAGACCATACTAACCTTGTCAAATCGACGGATCAGCATCCATAAATCTTCATTAGACAGGCCCTGAGCAAGTGTCTCATCTACTTTCCGCGAGGATGCCTTCCATTGAGTGTTAGGTGGCGGTCTCGGGCTCAGTGACTGGAGGGGACCAATCTCCTCTGGGGTGGTGAGATCATTCTCATCGTCCAAGTGTCCCGGCATTTGTGATCCATGGCTCATATTCAACAGGTTATGAAAGTTCGAGGAGAGAGAAGCTTGGTATTGCTTACTATTATTGGGGCCCTTGGACGTCGGACTAGCGCGAAACCCCGTGTTAGCAAAGTGTGGGGGTTGACGTCATGGCTTGGCTATTTTTAGCGCTTGGGCCCCTGATATCCCTCGAAATTAGGAACAGAAACAGAACATGATCATGCTGGTGATCTGTCACTTTGAACAGTACTTCACGCCCATAGAAATGTTCGCCCTCATGCCAAGCAAGAGGTTTGGTTAGTCTTCAAGTTTGGCATATATCTCTTGTCCTATCTCCTAAAGATAGATGAACTGGGAAGAGGGTGGGTTGGGGCTGGAAAGTTGATGCTTTAACTTCTCCAGTATGTTATGCAACTGCTGGAACAATAGAGCCATTGGGATAATCGCGTCCAGGGCAGCGGAAATTCCGTCAAATTCAACGCAGTGAGAGGTAGAGTTATCGAGGTTAGCGGCCTTGTCATTTCTTTTTTTGGTAGACCTTCTCGATGTCTTTTCAGCTGTCTTCTCGAAAGCCTTTTTTATATATCTTTTGTATAATCATTTCATCGATTATCGGTGCTGTATCTAGGAGGATGGGGAAATTTCTGCAAAAGAGTTGAACTGGAAAGCCCATACGCTGCGCGCAATCCGTTCCATGTCCCTTTCGGTAAGAACAAAATCGACCTCTGAGCCAGTTTTCTCGCGAAGAAAAATGTCGTGAAGTTGCAGCTTAAGCTGTCCATTGATTCTGGGGCAGTTTGGCGCGGGTTTGCGGATGATTTTGATCTTTTGAGCAGGAAACCGAAGTTTTATGCTACCATCAACCCTTGGATCTCTTTCTCGCTGTTCGATGATACTGTAGTTCGGCCACGAGCATGAATAGTGATTGTGATCGCGATCTTGACTTCACCGTTGGAGTCATTGAGCCAAAATTCGATATCCCGTAGGAGTTTCCGTCGTTGTTCCGACCATGCCACTTCGCCAACGAAAGTTGGCCACTTGCAGGGTCTGCCTGATGGGTCGATCAGCGTCCAGGAAATATCTGCTTTCTTGGTCCATGTATCTCCGCGGACAGCGCTTGCTCTTGTAGACAATATAAGAGTATCGTCGACTTTGCGAGTCCAAGCCGAGAAGATGGTCTCAAACGCTCCACCAGCGACTGCGTGGATCGCCGACTCATAGATTTTTAAAAGCGTGGACTGAGAGGCATGGTCATAAAGCTCCCATGAGTGTCTACGAATACTCTCTCCGGAATTCACAAAGCACTCAATGAAGGAGTCTTCATCAATATCCATGATGATATAAGGGTTGGATAAGCCTTCAGATTCCTCGCGCTCCTGTCGCTCTGCCTCTTGATCCACCATCCTAATACATTGCTCGATTCCTTCATAGTTGTACCTCGGTCTCATAGAAGGAAGAACATCTTCAAAAGACATCGTGCTGACAGATCCTTAGCTGGGGATATAGAATACAAAGCGGGAACGCCTGTCGGATGGGAACTTGGTACTTGACTGCATGTCAGTATGACGACGCATGTGGTAGTCCTTCCTGCAGTCATTTCAGATGTCTTTTATAGACATTTTCCTCCATTAAAGGTGCCTTAATACCGCGAAAGATTGACCCTCAGAACATCCACAAAACCTGTCCACACATCGATTTCAACCCAGGTTTTGTGCGTGTTCTGGGGATCAATCTTTCACGGTTCTAACTGATACTCTTTACTCGGGGAAAAGAATAGAAATAAATCAATTCAGAGAAGTATATTGAACATGTGGATCCTTTGCTACACCATTGGTATATAAAATATAATTTCTTTGTATCAGAGAACTTTTTTATAGCCATGCTTTGAAGCTCACGTCTCTTCTAGATTTTATAGTAATCCATATACATATATACTCGTGGGCCCTCTGGCTATATGGATAAATACACAAAGAACCCTTGCAAATGCATGCTTGAATAATTTGAGATTATATTATGCATAGAATGTGCATGCTGTACGCCGTTCCTAAGTTACATCGGTTACATCGCATTAGAGAAACTGCATGGTAACATATCCAAACCTTCTTGTATAACCAGTTTTGGATCGATGATCACACGTGTTATCCTTGCTAGCCATAATTTCCCCATAAATAACACCCACCGACTATCATTCCACACGCACATTGTTTGTCCGCAAGACCTCCATGAACTCCACGAGCTGCTTCTCCGCCGCTATCGCCCAGGGCGTCTGCCCATGCACATTGGTCTGGTGTACCAACTCGGGGGCTTTCTCCACAAACAATTTCAGAGTCCGTCGAACTTCAATTGATGCGAAGTTATCATCAGAGCAGTCAACGTCAGCCAAGTGATGCAATACGTTGTTTCCCTCGTCATCTACTGCACTCAAATCCGCTCCCCGTTCATACAGAGCCATTGCACGCGTAGGGTCATCCTCCTTCCAGGACGCCGGTGTAATATTCCCGCCTCGGTGTGGATATGCCGTGATCGTGCAGGCATACGAGTGAGTCCCAGTCGTAGAGCTCGCCGCTGCCAGCAACAGTGTTCTTCCTGTAGAGTCGCGTCGTTCGAGGTTAAGGTCGGGCATATCTAGCCATGGTTGGACGATCCCTCCGCTGGCGAAAATCTCGTGGAGAATCTCTTGGTTTTTGTCGCAAGGCAGGAAGGGATCTGCCCCTCGTTCTAGGAGAAATTCAATCATCCTGCAGGCGTGGTCGCGGCAGTTGGCTTCGTTAAATGGTAGCATTGAGATGTAAAGAAGAGGGCTCAGCTTGAGCCCATGGGTTGTTGGGAGCTTTTGGACGCGGTGTGTATGCCAATGCGGCTGCGCATTGGATAACACCGTCGCGTTGCAGTCCAGGTCCATATCTAAGAGAGCGGAGACCACGTCTTTGTTGAAACTGGACAACGCATCAAAGAGTTCCATGGGGTGGTCCTGAGAGGGATATGCTCCATGATCGATCAGTAATTGGAACAACTGGGTGTCGTGCGCCGACATGGCCAGCGGGGTATAGCCACACGTGGCAGCTATGTTAGGGTCAGCGCCGCCCTCCAGCAATATCCTCGTAATTTCGAGCTGGCGGTGACCCCCCAGCTCCCCCCGTGAAACTGCATTGCATAGAGGCGTCTTGCCCTGCTTGTTTTGGGCGTTGGGATCGGCACCATGTTCCAGGAGGTACCGAATGGCTCCTTCATACCACCAGTGCGTACCATGGGCCAGTTGATGGAGGATTGTGTCACCCGGTTTGTAATGTCGGTTCAGTGCCATCCTTGTTTGGTAGCTTATTTGGGGTTTATCAACCATATCCGCTTCAAATCTGATGTTAACATCTGTGTTGAACTTCTCTACCATGACCCGAATAACATCCAGGTTAGGAATAACTCGCTGGGCAGCCATCAGAAGAGGCGGTGTCAGCTTTTGACCCCGAAAATTGGTGTTGACGCCATTGATCCAGTTGCCTGACATCGTACTGCCAATCCGCCCAAAGAGCTCTGGAAATCCCCATCTCGCAAGAGATGTCATAACCGCTGACATGCAGGATCTGTCCTCGATAACGGAGGCGCTTTTCTCCAGCGCCTGTGCAACCTCCTCTTGGTATCCGAGCAAGATCATTGAGAGCACATTACTTTCGGATACATATTCCTTGAATTGTTGCTGGAGGAGGTCTGGGAGGTGCTGAGAGCGCAGCAGGTAGTATTCAGTCATGCTGGGGTGGTGACCTTGAATCCGAAGGCTCATTTCTCGTGATAGCCTGTCCAACTCCATGGTCATTTCCTCATTCCCCTCGTCAACTGCGTAGTACATAGGACCGACGCCACAATTCTTTTCATATGTCAAGGCTCCATGAGACGCCAATGCTCGTACGATTCGTCCAATTCCGATTGTCGAACTTTCAGATGTGATTTCTCCTTTCCACCCTAAGCCTTTGGTGTTGTGGTGCTTCGTTTCCATCTTCGATGTGGGCTGTGTCGGTCGCTGGTTATCTTCTGCCAAAACCCCTGCTGCGGAGTGCGTGTTCATTATGTTTTCTTGGTCGTCAGCCCCCTGCCAAAGCTGGTCTTCCGCGATGGACTCGGCGCATGCATCTAGAGGGGTACGGTTTTGCTTGTCCTCGATGTTGACATCTGCTCCGTATGCGAGGAGAATATTCACTGTCTCCAGTCTTCCAGAGCGGCAAGCCACATGCAGCGGCGTTCTCCCGTCTTCCGATCGTGCATTGAGCATTAGAGCCAGCTTCTTAGTGTCGCAGTGGTCCAAAATTAGCCCAACAGAGTTACTTTGCCGCGCGGTTGACGCAATATGCAACAGATTACGGCCATCCTTTGTTGAAACTGTAGCATCAGCGCCGCGAGCAAGTAATTTACCGACCAGGTGCTCCGAAACCGTAGCAGCAAGGTGGATAGGTCGAATTCCCTGGTGATCGCTCATATTTAGAGCGACACCGAGACCCGCATCTAGAAGTAGGTCGATAGCACACTTGCCTCCCTGTGCGGTCGCCGCGAACAAACTATCTGAAGACTGGCTGCATAGCATATGCAGAGGTGTCCGACCTCGGAAATTGGGAATCGTTGGAGGGTTGCCCATTTTGACAAGTTGAATCATGGCCAAAAGAGCCGTATCTTGGTCGATGGTAGCAAAATTGGCCGCAAGGTGATGCAAGAGCGTGTCTCCTTTGTAATTTGCCATATTTGGATCTGCACCAAGAGACAGTAGAAATCCCAGGTACTCGGATCGGAAGTGGTATGGTTCGATCAGATAAGATAGTACCCCGTTGCCTTTATAATCCTGCGCGTTGATATTGGCTCCACGGCTGATGAGGTAGGGAAGAAGCTCGCGACAGTTCCACTGTGGGTTGCCACGCATGGCCTTAGTGAGAAGTGTACATCCGTGATAGTCTCTAGCCTCGAGGTCTGCACCGGCTGCGCAGAGAATGTCCAACACATCCTGAATGTTTTGCTCCGATCCCTCCACCATGTGGATAGCCTGTTGCCCTTCGTGGTTCCTCTGGTTGGGGTCAATTCCAAGCTTCAGCAATTCCACTATAGTTTTGCTCCCGCAAAGATGTTTTGCGGCGACGATATGAAGAAGCGTGTTGCCCTTGCCGTCAATAATCGTCCAATCCGACACAAAGGGTTGGAACAGCGAGAGATCGCCCAACTGACATTTAGACGCGTAGGCATGCAGCGGGGTATGACCATCTCCATCTCGAACAATGTCCAGGCGGCCCCCACTCGCCATAAGGCCCTTGAACAACTCTGGGTGGTCCAAGGGGTGGTGAAGGAAATGCATAGACGTGCCTCCCTGGGCCTCTGCGATGTTCGGGTCCGCTCCATGTTGCAAGAGAAATGGAGCAAGAACAGTCTCATTGTGTACTGAAAGCAGCAGAGCGGTATGTCCGTGGGCATCCTGTGCATTGATGTCGCACCCAGCATCCAGCAGCACCTGTATCAGCTCTCCGTAGCGGGGCAGGTCTTCCACCTTTTGGTAGGGACCCAGACTGTCCACCACTCCGTGGAGGGGGGTAAAGGCTGGAGGCTTGTCTCCACGCCGCTTGTTTTTGGATCTGATCGTGACATCAGCCCCATGCTGAAGCAGGAATCTGACCATGGCCAACTGGACCTTTTTCGCGGCCAAGAATAAAGGTGTGTCTCCATCCACAGCCGCGTTGACATCACATCGCCCGCTCTCGAGCAGAGCTTGGGTGCTGGTTATTTTACCATATTCGCAAGATCGACATAGAGCCGCAGCCAGATCGACAGAGTCCGCAGTGGCAGCTAATTGGCGCACCAGGTCCACATCTTCCCCATCAACTGCCATGAGGAGCGGGGGAAGGGGCTCCTGCTCGAGGAATCCATCATTGTTCTCGAAAGATCCAGGCATTGCTCTACGGAGAGAAGACAAGAAGTCCATGATGCGGCGAATTGTCGGAATAGGAGTGAAAAGGGGCAGGTGCGATCCCTTAAATATCGCACGCTTTAGCCTCATCTAGGCTCCCGTGGCCAAATCACGAACCCGTCTCTCTCACCTCACACTTCTTCCTGGATAAAATGTCAATCGGGATGCCTCTTTTTTTTCCCTCTTCCGTTGCTCTTCCGTTGCTGAAAATATTTATTCCTTCCCGGCCTCGGGTTCCATGAGAGTTTGGGTCTTCAGGATAAGTTAGCATTGATGATCAAGATCAATTTTGCGGCGGTTCTATATGAATAGAAATTATTCCTACTAGTATGTTCATGTTATTTCGCTGATAAGATAGTTTCTTCTGGGGGTGTTTTTTTGTTCTTACCTTCTCAATATATATTCGGACATTGACGAAACTCGTGTATGGCAAAAGTCATCACACTGGAACAAATCGATGTTTTGTTGGAGAATCAGCATTTGAATTATAGATATTTGAAACCTCAATAATATAAAAAGAAAAAGAAATGATACAACTAAAACACCAAAATATTCAAAGGTCAAAAAGAAATCTCTCCCTCGGGGAATCGAACCCCGGTCTCCCGCGCTTATCGGTATTAATGACAAGCGGAAATCATCACCACTAGACCAAGGAAGATGTGGTCGAGTTAACTCGACCATTGGCTGGTTGATGGAAATATTGGCCCAGATTGACATTATGTCCCGGTCCAATATTGAGCCATTACCCTAAACATACCAATAAATAACACATACTTTGGATACTACTAGATTAAATTACTTTTACCCTGCAAAATAACACCCTTCATTGTATTTAAATTTCACTTGATCAAGTTCAATATCTGTTCCGTTCATACTGAAATCGATCATATAACGGGATAGAACGCAGCCTTGTCCACAATGAGATATCAAATCCAACGCAATTCAAGACATAATGGGAGCGATCAAATATTCAGAAACCGAGAGAGGAGACACGAGCGGCGATCGACACAATTCAAAGACTGGGCGGCCATATAGATCGAGGGCAGGGACTCGAGCTGAAAACTTGGCAAAGTAGTGTCACAGCTGATTTGCTCACGCACACACAGCGTTCGTGGGGGGTGGGGGGCGCTGATGCCCGAGTGTAGTCACACCTTTACAGGACTGACCACACTCAGTTCTAGGACCTTGAAGCAAAGCAGCTTTCGAATCATGGCGGATCAGGTATTGATTGGCCGAAAGGTCGGGGTGGGCGTCATCGGAAGATGAAGATGGATGTAAACCAGGGGGTAAACCAGACAGAGTAGATCCGATAGGAGTTCCACATGTTGGAAGTATTCGAGATAGCAGAGTAGGGCCATGTATTCAGCTTTCCTTGTCCTGGCTGCGAAGCTTATCGAGGCTATCACGAACAGTCTCGCGAACACTGAAGCCTCCGAATAGCCAGTCATTGGAGTGACGACCGTAGTGGTTGACAGTTCCACTGTAACGTTTGTAGTCGTCGCTGTTCTTGCGGGTGGGAGTAGATGCACGCTTAGGGCAGTCCACCTTCGGGGATTGGGGCGAACCCATGCTGGACATCTGGGTCGGGCTGGTTGCAGTATAGCTCTGGTCTGGGAAGTATGAAGTTTTGGATTTCTGCGGGATGTCTCGAGGCTGTGACATTGTGTCTTGGTTCCTGGGGATATCGATTGGTGCAGGAGTTTTGGATCGGAATGGCTTTGAGAGAGGGTTCGACAGCTTGGAGGGCTTCTCTTGAGAGAACTGGGTGGAGCTTGATGTAGCTGATGTTTGGGAGAGCGATCTCTTGGGATATATGTACTGAGTGTGAGAATATGAAGTAGAGGATGAAAAATAGACCTGCGAGAGGGGTTTATTTATGTTCAAGGCAAAATAATTTCCCAATTGTGATGGTCGCCCTATAGGGCAACCAAAATGCGGCACGAAGTACGCTATGATGTAGTCAAATACGGGACAAGGAACGCCCTTACTAGAGGACACCAATCAGCTTCATCACAGATGACTGGGAAACGGACCAGCCCACATCTCAACCAATAGACATTGTAAGAAGGAAGTCGGAGTATCCACTGGTAAGGTTTAGTGTATTGATTGTCGGTGAGATTGGCAGGTTTGAGAGGGCCGAAGTGCCCTATCGCCCGTCCACCAACCAATCAGCAATTGTTTCTGCCTTGGAGCCTCCTCTTCCCGCCCTTTGGACCCCGCAGATTCACCGACCTTGTGTAACTTTCCACAAATTGACACGTCTACACTTCCCGTACTATACGGAGTACTATCCAAATACATGTCTTTCGTGATTCCTCTCTCATGACTTCGTCCCAAGTGGGTCACTTCGGGGTATCTCCTATTAAACAAGACTTCGAACATACGAAGCCTTATGAGACATCCCCGTGCTCCAATTTTCTTCCTTTCGCCAATAAAATCCGCTAGCTTTCCTTCTAGCGCCCTTCTAGAATGCCGTGCTAACCGATCTCGAGACACGGGATGTCTGAGTCACCTGCCCCCCACAAGTTCATGAGGTAACCCCGTACATGAAAGGAGGTTATGCGAGGGATTTGACTCTCGATTTGACTCCATGCCCACTCAATTTCCTCCAGTGGGGTTATAATGATGTCAACCAGTTTAGAAAAAGCTATCCTTGAGAGAGATTTGATTATAGGCTTACACAATAGCCTCTAAACTAATTATGACCATGTCTTCTCGTTTACGTCCTTTGGTCACCCGGAAGAGCTTGTTCAAATCTCTGATACTCGGTCATTTTAGTCGGATCAAGTAAATATTGCGTCCTTTCAACCAAGGGCAAATGATATTTCCACTATTGCACCTAAGTGGGTCACGAAATATAAAAAGTTAATGTGAGGCTATAGTGCCATGGGTTCTGTGTGAATATACTAAACACATTTAAATGTTCACCCGAGATATCTATATTGACCTGGGGCCTGTTTTTACGACGGACTGATATCACCAAAGTGCTTTTATTCTCTGGGTCCAAAGTGCCATGTATGGTGGGTTTCCCGTGCGAAACGCCGCAGTTGCTCCAAATGGTCTAATCAATGGCACAAACACATTTCCCTGCGATGAATCCGACCATACAGCCTGTCTGGGAATAGGAAAACTCTCAGAGACCGTGATACAGAAGGGCAAGAAATATCGTCTTCGATTGCTCCCCGCCCAGACATATTCGTGGATGAAATTTTCTATTGACGGCCACAAACTCACAGTCATTGCAGCTGACCTGGTGCTTATTGTACCTTATCAAACCAATAGTGTGATTCTCGCTTCTGGTCAGCGATATGATGTTATATTTGAAGCCAACCAAGACATCGGTAACTATTGGATGCGCGCGATATATCAGACCGCGTGCAATGGGGTTTTAATTGAGAGGAATGATATCAAAGGTATCATTCGCTATGAAGGTGTTAGTCAGGCTGATCCAACAACAAAGCAATGGTCGTCAATCACGAATTCCTGTGGCGACGAGCCTTACGCCTGTCTAGTTCCTTGTGTCAAGAAAGACGTCGGCAAAGCGGACAGTCAGAAGAACTTGAATATTGGATGGTTCTATGAGACTGATCTTGTCTACCACTGGGCAATTAGCACTAAGGCGTTGGAAATTGATTGGCAGCGACCGACCGATCTTCTCATCCATCGCAATGAGTCGATCTTCCCGACTGATTATAACATATATGAGATCCCTGCAGATAAAACTGTGAGTTTGAAAAAACTTCCTAGCTGCTGATGCTGTTTTGAGCTGACGAAATCGTATCAGTGGACATACTGGGTCATTCAAGATTTGGGCTTCGTCAATGCCTACCACCCCTTCCATCTCCACGGGCACGACTTTCATATCCTAGCGCAGGGATTTGGACTCTATACCCATCTCACCAACCTAAATCGCAAGAATCCACCTCGACGGGATACAGCTACAATGGCTGGCTCTGGGTATCTCGTCATTGCATTCGAGAACGATAATCCAGGGTGTGCATGGAAGTCTGTTCTCTTGCGAACTCACCAACACAGCTTTAGATCCTGGCTTATGCATTGCCACATTGCGTGGCATACAAGCCAGAGTTTAGCGCTGCAATTTGTAGAGCACCAGGTGGAGATACCGGAGCTGGGGGCCTCTGTTTCGGCTGATTTTGAATCAAGCCAAGTGGGAGACTTATTACAAGAGTCTTTGCATAAGCAGGATGATTCGGGGATTTGAGTGTAAAGTGTCGTTATGTTAGGGCAACTAAGTTGATATATGGACTGTGTACATATGAGGTGGTATCTCTTCGGTGAATATCGAGGGCGACACGGGGCAAGAGGTTCGGCGGGAAAGTGCATTTCTTCTTCATTTCTACAGATTCTTTCATATCTGCCCGAGCTTCCATGGCGGTAGAACAATTTAATAAACAGTTCAACATTATGGGAGTTATCTAGTCGCAGATTTTCCCACCCCCTCCTACTCTGACCCCAGGGCCATGAACTGCAATTGGCAACTAATTGTCTCGGGCCGCATCTTTTCACCCAACTTCTTTTGCCAATACTACGACACACGGCTGAAACTACACCAGTATCTAGTGTACGGGTTATCTGGACAGCATCGATTGTTGTTGATGCATTCGCGCTTGAGACCGGGTTAGAGCTTGCAGAATTATTACAAAAAGGCGCCGACAGATCGCGCTATTACTTCAACACCAAAGTGGGAAATTGGTTTTTAGCAGATTCCCTCGCAAGTCAGGTTGGCGGAGATGAGATATTAAGCTTGGTGCAAAACCCAGGGAATATCAAGACAAACATCATGCGCCATAGTCCGGCTTATGTTCCGTATATTCTTGGGCCGCTGCTTTATACCCCTAGGTTCAGAGCTTATACTGCAACCTGGTTGGCTTTTACTAATGATCTAAAAATTGATGATGGGGGGAAATATATCTTACCTTGGGGCCGTATACATCCGTGTCCAAGGAATGACTTGTTGCGAGCTATGAGGGGAAAGGGAAAGGGGGCCACCGGGGTTGCAGCGGCGTTTATACAGTATTGCGACAACCAGATTGCGTCATTTCTATAGTTGCTATGTTTGAATTTGGACATCCTCTGGAATATAATGAAAGAAGAGTGTTTATTGATGAACCGAAAGCTCTAATCTGAATTTTCTGTTGAATTCTACATGATAATATTCAGATCTTTACTAGGCCTGACTGGTAATTATTTGGGTCTTTTGACCTATCAATGGGCATTAATTAAGGAGACTTTCTTTCATGCCGTTGAGCCTTGATGAATTCGCTCAGATCCCCCTTTGCGAAACTCAACCCTATAAACAGAATAACATTTTCAAATAAAGATTACAATGCAAAGCCAGCAAATATTTCCAACAAATACCATCAGGGCAAGTCATTCTTCGGATTCCTGAAGTGTCCACAATGAAGCACTCGGTTTTCTCCATGCGCGTAGTTGCTCAGAATGACACCTCCGATGTCGTCCCTCACCCATGAATCCTGCTGTGTCAGATCGAGACATAAATGACCTCCATTTGTCCGAGTCGGAAGGAACTGCCGGCTTATCCAACTCATCGGGTGGTATAAACCTAGGCATCATATATGAACCATCGGATTTCATATTTGTAGGGATGACGAACAACGATCGAGTCTTGTTCAAGGGCGGCCGACGTGTCAACCGACGCAGAACACTCCGGTAAACCTGTTTTGTCTGCCCCGGTGGCCCCGACAGCGAGCTCTGATCGCTTCGTCTCACGGATGATCGGAACCAAAGCCGAGACATTCGTTTCGGTTGACGAGAGAGTTCGGGCATTATTATATCATCGCAAAGCAACTCTTGTGTGGAAATTGGAGCCGCCGTGGATTGTTGTAAATACAGTGGGATGTTGTAGGTATAGGTTGCGGGGCCATCTACTGTGTTGGATACATGGATTTTCAGCCCGCAGGGCTCACGCAGGCACAGATCTGAGCCACATTGGGGCCATGTGTGGTGTCTTCTGTGGTGACGGGTACGTCGCATATTGGAGAGGAAGAGGGAGAGGTTGAGTGATAATAGCGAAATTTATCCTGCATTCATGATGTATATTTGAAGTGAGAAGAAGCCACCGAGGCAACTAAATAGGGATCAACACAGCTTTATAAAGCCCACGGGCAATATATCAGTTAGCTTGCACGTGCGGAGCTATATATTACCCAGAGGCTTTCCCGGGTGACCGAAGACTCATACGGGCGACTCTGTGGGTGAAAATGACCCAGGCGCATATTAAAATGGCAGGAACCTGGAAGTTCGAAATTCAGGTGCCAGCCGATTGAGGCAACACAAAGAATGATCCGTTAAGTGCCGTGTGAAGCACCTTTTCTAATATTCATGATTTATGGGATTACCCATTTTGAAATAGAATCTCTTGCCATGTCCAAGGGAATGACCTTCTAACCTGATGTGGTCGATGATGGGAGATTGTCCCATGACAGCAGCGGGAGGCGTTGAATTTCATTACATGACTCGAAAAGTCCAACGAGTCCAAAGAGTCCAAATAGGTCAAGGTAACTTTTGATGATATTGCTAAATATTTACTCAGGTACACCTCTAACCATAGTCTGATACCTTGATGTATTTAGGTGGGCTAAGTACCGAGTACTTTGGTCTCAGAGCAACTCACACGATAAGGCAAGTACCCGATACTTGATACCTGAACAACAGAACAACATTTCCCTTTATTACATATTATGATATACCCAACAAGGGTTAAAAACTAACAGTCACCGAAATGTTGGGTCTCAGCATTATACTGATTCCCACGCCGCTATTCACATGATTCACCTGCGTTCCTAGATACTAGGATAGTGGAAAGAGGGGTGAAAACCCCCACCCCAAAATTATTAGGGCTTACTACCTGTAGACAGGCAGACTCCTTGGCCAATTAAATTGGAGATGGTTATACGAGGTAGCCGGAAATGCTTATATGTACTAGTTCCTATGTCTAGAAAATTGGAAAATCGGGAGATCATCTCCCTATGAGATTCAAGCATTGCATACTTTTCTAGTTCTATAATTGTATAGATCGTATAGATCTCACTTGATCCATGAACCACGAGAGTATATATTCGTGAACTACGGAGTACTCCGTACAGTGAAACGAATTGGCCCCCAAATTTCACATAGGCTGGTCTAGGCAACCCGTAGTGAAGTTTTGATCCAATAAAAAAAATGATGCCAAGAACAAAGCTGCATCTTTGCCCGATCAATACTAAATCAGGAAGCCCCTACTCACAGCCTCTCAACACAGCCCGTCCATACACTAATATCCTTTCATTTCGCCTTATTTTCCTTCTTATTTGACTCTTTTTATCCCTCCTACAAGACATAATGTTCTTGTAATATGGTATGTTTTGTTTTTCTTCATTCATGAATGTTACCTGAGCCTCGCTATCTTCAATATGTCAGCGGAACATTCGGGGAACCTCGAACCGCCCGGCAGCTATTCTCCCGTCGCGAAAGAAGAAAGCGTACATGAGGATGGCCACAGCCCTCGTCCACTCTGGGTGCCGTTTTTTCTGCGGCGCCTGACCATGATAGTCTTTTTGATTGGCTTTCTGTCATGCTTAGGTGCACTTATCGCGCTGTATTTGTACACTCAGCGGCAGAATCACAGTCTGGGGATCAAGACAGACGGGGATAGATATTACTATCTCTGGACATATGGGCCAACCGCAGGTATACAAGTCTTCTATGACACGGGTTGTGTTCAAAAATTCTAATTTCTCGATAGTGTTTACAATCCTCACAGCTGGCTGGACACAAGTCGAATACCGTGCTGTCCAGTTGATGCCATGGGCTTTGATGCTTCGTGGCCCAACCCCAGCTTCACAGAGCATCTTCCTCGATTACCTCTCAAAAATGAACGTTGTATCACTATATCAATCACTCAGGCAGAAACACTTTCTGGTATCTCTCTGCATTGCAGGATCACTCATTCTCAACGGCGTTACGGTGTTTTCCACTGGCCTCTTCGAGCTGGACTCAGTACTGGTCCCTCGTCCTGTTAACCTGACGGTGCCTAACAAGTTTAGCGGGGCCGATTATGATCCTCATATGATCGATGCCAAGCCCATCGTGTCCTGCATGGCATTTTCGGCCTACAATATGACTCGCCCTGTTGGTATCCACGAGACCTACGTGTACACTCCTTTCCAACCAGCCAACCCATATTCAGTGGAAAATGACACTGTTCCCACGGATCGAAACTATCAGGCAGACGTGGAAGTCATTGAGCTATCTTTTGATTGCCAGAACGCGACCACCTCTTTTGAGCCGTCTTCTGTGGATTATTTCACTGGAGACACCCCAGTATACAAAACCCCCGACGGTTGTCGTTTTCAGCAAGCCAAGTACGCGCCGAGTGCGATGTATGAGTTAGACACCAAGTTTGGTATTGATATCGACCTCAGAGGATGTCAAGGCGAAAAATTGAACGGCTCTGGACCCAGCTATCTGGGGCCGTATTCGAGCGACTGGGATGCGGATTGGCGTATTTGGGCGGCCATTGCTCCATCAGTAGGCTTCGAAATGCCGAACACCATAAACTATACGGGGTGGGCACATCGTCCAATTCATGTTACTGTGTGCAAGCCCCGCTATACCACATACCGGGGCCCAGTAAGGATATGGCGAGAGGCCGGAGAGAATGCCGTTTCGGTCGATATACCACGAAAGAGCTTGAATGCCATAGAGGGAATTGCTGGTGTGCAGGCATCAAAGATTATGTACAGTGCTTGGAAATCAGCGTCAGGTGGATACTTGCCGAGCACAAGTGCGCCAGGAACCGAGTTTACCTTTGCAGCAAATGGTACTTCGCGGGATGAGCTTTGGGCAGATATGGCCGCATTTACTGATGCCATAACTGATTCGCTATCGTGTCTCATGCAGCAGACTGTGAAGAATAAGCTCATGCGATATGAACCGCATCAAGTTGAGGGAACAGAGCAATTGATTGAGGACCGACTATTTGTGCGTCAAATGTCGTTTTGGTTGATGGCAATCCTATTGGTCATTTTAATTGCCATTGTCGTCATTCTTCTATGCTTCTTCGTTCCAGTTGCTGTGTGCCCACGAGACACAGGGTCCATTGGAGGAGTCGCTACTATTCTTTCCCAAAGCCCAGAGTTTATGGGCGCATTTGGTGGATCACAGTTCAAGTCAGAAGAGAAAATGGCAGAGTCCAGATTAGGCCAGACACAGTACAGTACCTTAAGTGATACGAAGGGAGCTTTCGTGCTTCTTCCCCAGGATCAACCCATATCCCAGCCTCTCGAGTACAATAGCAGCGAAGACTCTTCTTCACCTACCTGGTGGCAACCGTTTTCATCCACTTGGTTTCTTCGGATTGCTGTGGTCATTATTCCTATCGCCGTGATCATCAGCCTTGAAGTTGTCTACCACATCTCTTCCAGTGGACCTGGGATAACCCCAGTCGACGGGAAGTCACCATATATCCACTACATCTGGACCTATGTCCCGGCGTTGGCCATGTTTATCATTCGTTGTCTTTTTACATCTGTCGAGTTTAACACACGTATTATTCAGCCCTATTCTCGTCTCCGCCAAGGCCTTGCTCCCCCAGAAACATCCATCTTCGAGAACCAGCTACGCAAGATCGCCCCCTTCGCCGTGTTTGACACACTACGAAAAAGACAGTGGGCGCTGGCTGCAGCCACAATATCCCTACTTCTCGCGGCCATCAACCCCATCGTTGTATCCGGTCTTTTTACCGCCAAAGCCTCAGGGCTCACATCCCCCATGAATCTCACGCAAATCACCCGCTGGAACCTAGGCGACCCTGCTACTCCCAATGTCCTAATGCAACGCCAGGCGCAGCAACAAGGGTCTCAAGTTGATCCCACAGCCGGCCTTATACTCAACCTCAATCTCTCTTATCCCCAATGGACATATCAAAATTTGGTCTTCCCCCAATTCACACTCACAACCGCCGACGACCTACCACCGGGGGCGGGATTCATCAACGCCAGAATTCCAGCCCTCCGAAGCCGGTTAAATTGCACACCAGACCCGGCAAACGGCGGTCGCTGCAAGATCAAAAGGGGAACATGGGCGTGCGAGATTGATTCCCCCTGCTTCCCTCCTATCGGTGGCGAGGTCCTTGAATCTGATATCGAGTATTTTCTCACAGATTCAAGCCCAAGATCCAGCAATGTACCTTCAAACTGCTCCACGCACGCTATGATGTACGGTAAAAAGGACCCCGATAATGGTCCCCATGGTGCCCCCAGCATTTACCATTACATCTACTGCAACGCTACTATCGAAGAGGTAGAAGTTGATACAAAACTCCAGCTTCCGTCATTTTTGATTGACTCCGAAACCCCACCAAGGGTAGTTGAAGGCTCGGCTCGGACACCATTCAAAACAAACAAAGAATCATTACCCGCAATCTTACGACTAAGCTCTTACCTCTTTGTATCGGATCCCAGGTTCAGAGACTCGTTCCTTGATGCAATTACAAACGGCATCAATGGCGTCCCGCTAGATGAGCTTCTCAACTCGGAGAAATTGATCAATCGTGTCAACGAGGTTTGGGGCATCGTCATGGCCCAATTACTCAACACCGCTGCGAGGGACTCTTTCAACGATCCGTTTAACGCGACATACTTTGTTGAGCCCGCCACCATGAAAGCACCTATCTACACTGGGATCTTCCACGATGGACGAAAGTATCTCGTGCAAAGCGAGATCTCCACTCGAATTCTAGACAGCGTGCTCGGCAGCATGGTTGTGTGCGCGCTGATAGCGCTGTATGTGATGCGTACCAAGAGGGTCCTTCCTAAGAGCCCCACTAGCATTGCTTCTGTTGCCAGTTTTCTCTACGGCTCGCGCATGCTGAGCTCTGTCATCCCCAATGGCTCCGAATGGTGCGGTGACGAGGAGCTGAAAAAACGGGGAGTGTTGGAGGGACGCACGTTCTCGATGGGTTGGTGGGAGGTGGAGAGGCAGAGGAATCGGAGTCAGTCTGATGTTTCTAGTGTTTCGAGTGTTTCTGAGGATGAGACACGGGAAAGCGTCGGGCTTGATGGAGGTCAAAACTTTCTTGGCGAACAGAACGGTCGTAAGCAGACTAGATTCGGGATTGATGTTGATATTGCGGATAGACCGTTATTGCGTAATGCTTCCCCTATTTAGAGGGGCCGATTTTATATAATATACGAACGCGATCGAAATCAGTTTCGCCACTTTATTCATTTTAATGCTTTGCGGACCCAAACCAGGCTCCTATACGGTATCACTGAAGAGGTGACATGATCGACTAGGGACACTCCGAATAAAATTTTGTTTTTTTATATTGCCACGCGACTTGATATATTCGTGTGTCGATAAGTAGCTATATCTCCTCTTCTATATCCGTCGGGTACGATTAAACTAGAAAATTCTTGAGGAAATAATTGTATAGAGTGCCATCTCGAAGATTCCCGAACATTCTGAAAGACCCGAGCTTATAGTGAACTTATTGCTCAACGCGCTAGATGAATGTACAATAGGCTTCGATTTCCTTCTAGACTTTATTATCTTTGAATCGTCTTTCTACAAGTGATTGTCCCGCAATTAGGCTGATATTGAAGAACCTTTCTTACTGTAACCCGGACAACTATATTATTAGGGCTAAATGAGATATTTATATCTCTATAAGCAAATCCATTTAGCACAGGGTTTATTATTTAGTGAAAGTCAAAATGTATAATAAACTTTGTAATAAGATGAAACCGGTACTTTCCTTGATATTGGTTTCAGATCTTAACAGAGCAGTTTGGATAGTGTTTGGATATGGGATAATATGGGATCCACTGTATGTTAAGCTTCGAAACCCTGGTACTCCGTATAGAGACCGGCTTTCCCACCCTCGCTGCAAATGACCTGAATCGCACATTCATCTATTCGAAACCAGATAACAAACAAATCTCCGCCATGTACCCCACTTAGACACCAATTTGGTGATTGTATCATATTGCGGTACGGCACTAGGTGCAGGTGAAATATTCACACAAAAATGTTCATTCGCTACTCATATGTACGTGGGTCTTACCTCAATAGGTTAGGAAGTCGATCCGTCTAGTAGTACTATGCATATAGCATAATCCGGATATATAATCCGATTAGGCTCGTTGCTTATAGTTTTCTTTGTGGCTTCTTTTGTTCCTTTTGTAATCTATGAGGCCATGAAAAAAAACTTCTCTTTGCTTAGAGTACATAATCTCTATATTCTACACACTTGGTAAGATGTACCTATATAGGTGGATTTGCCCCGCTGATTCATGCCTTCTGCGCAAAGCCCGTTAATATATTAAGCTAGATAGTTACGCCACCGGGTTCCATTTCATTTAATTCCACCCAGCAGGCTTTCACATTTTGCAGAAGAAAATGACCAGAGGTACCTCAAAGCCCTAGTATGAAGTAAGTACCTTGTAGTATGCCGGATGCTAGTCTCATGCAAGCCATTATCAAAGGGAAATCACGATCATGAGGATCGGACCAGTAGTAAATGAACTCGGAACCAAAACACTCGACTGTGCGGTCATTATGACCGTTACAACAACACTTGGCAATAGTTATTATGGGGCCACCTGGTCCTTTCGCCCGGAGCCGAGCAGACATATATACCCAGCCAGTAAGTAGACGAAGGGATATCTATATGCAGCCCGGGGAAGAAATTGTGTGATGACCGGATTCAAGGCCGGGGTTTGACGAAACCGGCGGTGATCCCGAAACCTTACATACGCTAGAAAGGTTAAGAAAGAAAGTCCCAAGCTTCATCATGTGAACCGAGGGAAAACGGTGATTTTATTTAGCTCCTTGATGAAATTTATCTGCAACTACGTTAAAAATTCTGCGGAGATCAACATTTGGTTCGGCGTCGGTTAGTGTATGCGCTAATAGATAAAAGAAAAACTCTTCCGAGACCAAGAATAGTCGGTAGCACAAAAAAGGATGCAATGGAGAGTATGCATGAAGAAATTATCTGAGACAAAGTGGATATAGATTGCTCGAGACTAGTTGATGGATTTGCATTTGTTTGAGGACTTGTTGCTCTCCTCAGAATGGTAATCTTCCGCGTGGCAAAAAAAAGAACCTTCAGGTACGGTTAAACATGAAAAACGCCGGAGATCCCCCGAAGCAGGCAAAAAAAAAAAAAAAAACAATACTACAGGTCCTTCGATCAGGCACGCTGCCATGCGGCGATATCCGCTGCAGATATATCCAGATTTTCGGTCGTAAGCCGCTGGAGTCGTGCCACCTGAGTGGGAGCTAGAGTTTTGAGTATCAGCAAGAGTCCGAAAGGGGCAAGCAGGGGGCCAAATATTGGCTCAAAGGGGAAAACGTGCGGAAGAGGGGCAGATCAAAAGAAAACGGGAAAGATTATCAGAAGTGGTAAAAGGGGAGCCGGCACAAAGCGCAAATACGACAAAAAAACAAAGGAAAATTGACCCACTTGGCCGTTGGGCAGCCGCACCGGCGTGCACATGGATGACCGTCGAATCAGCATACTCCTTCGTTACAACACCGTTGTAGGAAGCTGCGCTAAGCATCACCCGCAGCCGAAACTTGCCTGGCTGCGAGATAGTGAGCGGGCTGAGTTTTGCATATCCGCTCATTGAGTTGTCGGTTCGGCTCCGCACGCTTGCCGTGAGATTACCGCTTAGGCCAACGGCTGCTCCTGTCCCAGCTTCATCGCGGAGGGAGGCGCTCACGACAAGGTGCTGCACATTCTGAGCTGGCGTCCCGATTGGGTTCACAGCAATGACTACTGGAATTGTGAAGGGAAATCCGGGTTGGGCGGCCGTTGGGGGAGTAGTCTCGAAGGACAGTGTGAATTCACGACCGGCCATTTTCGTTGTGGGATGGTATGGTGCTTGGGGATAGACGAGTTGTGCTGGATCACTTGTTGGTATAAAAGGGGCTCAAGCTTAATGATCTGCTTCAATCCAATTGAGAAGTAATGGGAGTAAAGAAACCGTGGAGCTGAAACCGTGAAGTATAACTCCACAAGATTTGGATGGAAGAGAGGCAAGAAGAATATGGAGAATGATGAGGTGGGATCAGGATATAGGCAACGAAGGTCAAGCTCTGAGAATAATGAATACGAGGATCGGGTCAAGCACAAACAAGGCCGTACCTAGGGCTTCATATACCTCATGGCAGTCGCCAAGAACAGTACCAGACATAATTTGGACCCATAACCTCAATTATGTGGTAAAGCACGATGGGGGGCCACGGGAATGTCGCCACCATCCAAAAGTACACGATTAGATGGTCTGTGACCAGGTAGTCGGGACTGCCAAGGACCATCATCCCCGCAGAAACAATATTTGTGAGCTCAATAAAAGGCCTGCTCGGCATAATGCAGGATCCTTGCAGCATCACGTTCCGGCAATATAATCGAACAGTGGGGCGAGTATGTACAAGAGTACTAAATAGTACTTTGTTCCTGTTTGGGCTGATCGACGGGTACGCGTCCTAGTAAAATATCAGGTGTGGAGAAGGTACGAGATCCGTGAGATCGAAGATGCACTGCAGGAGATCTGAAGCTAGTGTCAGGATCGACCCCGGGATTCCCTCACGACAGGGGTTCCACCATAATCTGTAGAACGTAGCCATTTCACACACTGACCCTGATGTACTCGAGGTTTCCTGTGGAAGTCTGACAAATTTGACAGGGAAATGGCTTGGCATGCATGACTGACATTCATGTGCGATGAGGGTTGTGAATTCAGATACAGGACCTCAAGGGGATCGTGTGGTGACTTGGGCCTATCCTTTCAATAGTTCCGTGCACGGATCAAGCAGCGGGGTTCTGCTCAACCTCGTTCGCTATCGCAGAGTCGGTGTCTTGTAATTCGGCTGGCATTTGGTGAGTCGCAAGTGCCACCGCCGGACCCTTCATTTTGGATGTGGCGCACCACTAGTATGCAAGTATCTCATCTTGGTGGTATCATGATACGGAGTACGGAGTACATATAAATGTATTAGCTTTGTTTATGAAAGTGCCCACTCCATCTAGACCTAGTTCGATATGATCCCCGAGTCGGAATATAGGAATTTCTGGCTCTGTCTAACTCCTTTACCTAGGTAACCAGAAAATGCAAGCCACACCCAACGGTGAACTGTGGCGTTTGTGGATTCGAGTGAACATCATAGCCACTCGGAAACCCCGACATATCCCATTTCGAAATCTGAAACCCTATTTTGCGATATGAGAATTCTCGTTCTTTTCTAAAATCTATCAGAACAGTGTTGCCTAATGTGGAGAGTAAAGAGCTGTTAAATTGGGGCGTGGGCAGATGTTGTAGCGGTGGTCATTTTTTTGACGAAATTAAATAATCAGCCTCACTGGCCAGGCCGAGACCCGCCTCTTAACAGATATTCCATGTGTTATGTCAGGGAACTGGTTCAGGATCTGAGATGAACTCCACAAGAAGCTTGAACCACCCCTGTCATCCTATCACATCATTTTAAGAGTTGGACGATCGTCCCGACGATCTTCATCAATAATTCAAATCAGTTGACGCCCCGCCGCTGCAACGGAAACAAATACTGTGCGGAGTATCGGAAAAATGATATCCTTTGCTTTTAGTGGCCCGAAGGCCGCTAAGTTGGGCAGAAGATTGTGACGCAAGTGCATGCAGAACGAAGTCTGATCCCAAGTGCTGGTAAGTGATGCAGCTGCGAGACAGCTTTTGGCGCCGAACGTGACCAGACAAGAACGAGAATCATCGAGATAACATTGCAGGAAACCAACGAACCCCATCAGAACTGGAAACAATAATTCCCAACACATATGCCGAGCCTGAAGCCCAACAAAAAGCAAACAAAACAAAAACACAACCTTGTTTCGAAAGTCAATAGTCGCACCGCCACCCTGTCAGCCGCAAGTGGCTCGAGCGTGGCTGGTGTGTGGCTAGAACTGCAAGGAGTGGCGCAATCGGTGTGGCTGTGGATACGGTCATTTCCTAATTTGGCAGGTGCGCATGGATCGAGAGTTCCCCGAGTCGATCGCCGTTCATTTCTAAGGTTCATGAGTTCATCTGAGATCCAATCCAAGATTTTGCCGATCTCCAAGAGTTCGCACTGAATTTTGGGATTTGTTAGCGTCACTGCTATGGTATTTTGCCACTCAAAGAGAGCCTGGAACGTCTAAAGACCTTTTGAATTCACACGAGCCGGCAAAGAGGTGAAAGTTCGTAGCCGAGGACTTCACATGACGAACTATGTATGCATGAAAGTGGTAGATATGTATCCACTATGGCTATCTACATATGTAATCATCAGTGAACTACCTCCCAGGTGACGCCTCCCACAGGTAGAGGATAATACACGGAGATAAACAGGCTGGAGTCCCAGCTTGTGGAACATTGTGATTCGAACAGCGACCTTCTTCGTGACTGATTTAGGGGAGTCTTCAGAAGAGAGCAGCCACTCACTACATTGTAATCTATGTCAACTCTGGAATTCCATTCGAATGCCTGTCTCAGCCCCGAGCAGAAGTCGAGTATAATGAGCTAGACGCCTTGATAACAGCATGAGACGATGGGAACATATTCTGTAGCCTTTGGCACCCCACACAAATATGCATCTAGGTGTCAGTGATCTTTTTATCATTCAAGCACCGTTTGAGAGCTAACAGCACCGGACTCACATGATTCAACATGATTAAAAGCAAGCCGAGAAACCCGTGATCTGATTCGATCCTTGCAAAACTGACTGCGTTGGTTGTTGGTTGTTAAGACGAGGGACGATTTGTGCCAATGCTTGTTCACAGCCCCTAAAATAATGAAGTTGAACTGCCTAGGAATAGTCCAAGAAAGCTTGTTATATATAATTCCACGTATGAGTATGAGAGTGACCGACTGCACGAGAATGCTTTGAACGGCAATTATTGGGGAGGAGAGCTACGATGTACTGAGTATCATTCAACCAGCGCGACCGATCTGGGTGGCGATATCAATGTAAATCCAAGGGCCTGGCCTTGACGGTGCGTCTCCCGTTCAATAGTAAATACCAACCCTCTTGCTCGTCCTTGATGGGGGTCGCTTGGATGAACCGCAAATAGCTCGATGTAGATAGACGTGGAATCTCGAGTATTGTAGATTATTCCGCGACAGCTATATAGTGTTTGCCATTGTATTCATCAGAGTAAATACTTTGAGGAAATATCGCTATGATGAATGTATAGAGAAAACATCGGAGTAAAAAATGGTAGGAAAGTTCTGTGCGTGACTTGCTGCTTCCTCATCCCTCCAACCTCTCTCTCATTTGCACAATGCGAGCCGACAGTCTTGACGACGAATTATGTTCTATATCCTTACAAATTTCTGGAGAGTGTATCCAGACTTCCATTAAATGGCACCACTGGGCACTCGACAGAGCCACTCTCTAGTTCCTGGTATCCCACGTCCCCCAAAACGACCCCCAAACACCGCAGTCAAAGTTCATAAGTCAATTGACCCCACGGTATTCGTTGAGTTATTTGTTGGAACTGTCGGAATATTCATAATCGCAGTCTTGTTTTGGAAGTTTGGGCGGTTCATCAGGCGATTCAATCGAAACAAGGTATTGAGAGCAGGCAAAAAAACCAACACCCGATACGTACGTACATGGTATGGCTGGGTCGCGTGGCCGACACATGAGAGGAATAAAAGGGCAATTCATGACTTCTTGGCTCGAATTTGGAAATCAATGGTGTGGAAATCGACACCAGACGACTATAGTTGGATTTGGTGGGATCCTGGCGATGTGGAAAAGCAAAAGCATCATCAAGGACGGAAAGGATTTTGTTGGATACCAGATTGCCTCAAGAGCTATGATAATTCTCCGACTGCCGATGAAATCTGGAATCCTTGTTCGCGACCCAGGTCTCATGGAGCTTTGAAGGACAGCACCCCAATGCCACAACCTGTTCCAGCGACGGGCTCTGTGCGGCGGGCGCAGGCGCATTGGGACAGATCGGAATCAAGCCTCCCTCGGCGATCCAGGTTGATAAATACCCCACCAGTTATCACTCGTTCAATTCAAGAGGAACTTCTCAGGGACCCACTACAGGCAAATGATGGCAGTTCGGATCACCAACCCTGGTTCAATTCTCGCAAGAATGCAGCAAGGCCAGCTACTCGCGAACCGGTGCCGTTCCACCAGATCCAATCATTACCGTCTCGACAGAACCAATGCTACCAAATGCGAGGATCGATCCCATGGTCGCGTGATGACGGGTCCCAAGATATCTCATGTCAAATCGAATCTATCGTGCGACATGAGGGTTTTCAATATGAAATAGCGGAGCCGAGTGGCCCGATGGACACAAAAAAACCTAAACTGCTCCATCGACATGGTAATTACCGCAGATACCGTGGATGGTCAGCACGAATGCAGATGGGGCCAAAAGGGGCAGTATTTGACAACATAGGGGATTCATCTGGCCCTCCAGGGACACCAAGGACCGAATTATTGGTCAGCTATGTCTCGGATCCGAGCTCATCTCTTCGTGGTCGCCTCAAGAGACAGCGAAATAGCACTGAAGGGTGCTTGCGTATCTCGGAAGATAGAACATCGTTCACTTCTAGACTCCTCATTGGAAACCAGGTTTTGTTCTCAAACGAACAGCAGACATTTACCAAACCCACCCAATGGAATTCGGCCCCAGCAAGATGCCATTTCCAAGGCAATGCGATCAATTCGAAAGTGAGGCCAGCATTGCCTGATGAATGGCGATTTACGTGTGACCCAAAACATCCTACCCTCTCTCGCTGTGAAGGGAAAAGGCCGGAAAAACAAGTCACTCGATGCTCCGCAGATCAAATTCAGCCCAAAGCAGGAGGCGCCATCGACGAGTTGAGTGATTGGGAGGTCAGAATGATGGAGAGGCTGGATCGAAAACTGTTATGGCTCTTTAATGAATTCACTCCAGGGCAAAAACCATACCATTTTGCCTTGCTAGCCAACCACTGGCTGAATAGAGAAACATGGCTCGTTTACGATCCCGTGTCCAGAGTTTCCACTGATGCACGTCGGTTGTGGGGAGACCCACGATTCAACGTTCCTTATCCAGAGCCGGTTTTCAGTCCCAGACCAAAATACCCTGTATCCAAACGGAAACTTGCGCAGACTCCTCGTATAGACTCCTGGCGGGCCGCTGTGAATAAGCAGCGGAAGGTATCTGGTATCCGAGACGCCATTCGCACTATTACACTGTATGATGAATCGGTCGAGGACCCGCCAGATGGCCATATCGATCCAGGCTGCTGGGCTTTGCCGAAACCGCCTCAAGGCTTTGAGATGTCCACTGCGCAGAAAAATGCCTGGTATGAAGGAGGGGCAGGCTGGCAAGAGACGCTTGATGATTGGCAGCAAGTCCGCCGGGGTTATCGTGTACACAAAGCCCTCCACGAAGGCCGAGTCAATCGGGGGAGGATCAGGGAAGTGGCAGCTCAAGTCAACAAGTGTTATCGTACTGCATCCGGAAAATTGATCCCAAGCTATGGTCTCGGGGATAGAAGAGCCCCAAACCTCCTTGTCTCATGATTATTCTCGAACCAGTCGCCTTTCACAGTCCCTTGTGTTCATTTTGCCCTGCCTTACCTGTAAGCCAATCAATTTTCACATCCCGCACTCATTCCAAACGCATTCAAAATATCCATAACTTCTGGTGCCATACGCTCACTACCACCATGTCTGTCGCTGTATCTATATCATTAGTATACCCCGGGAATCCCGGAATCGAACAAATAGAGATATCCTTGCCAAAATGCATTTGAATTGAAAGCCTGATCTAAGCGCTGGGGTAATCATGGAACATTGTAAGCCACCATCCTCTTCAGAGTGGCCGCGCTGCAAATTCCAAAAAGCCAAAACTCCGGTTGTCCATATGTTGTTTTTCGCTCTGACAAGTCCCCCGCCAGAGTCGAGTTTCGGATGTATAGTACATGTGCGGGGGAGAAAAATCCGTTTAGAAACCGGGAGGGTTGACACGTTGGCTGACACGAGTCCACTTGGGCAGCTCTGAAGGTAAAGAGAGTGGTTAGCTCAGCCAATCCACACAGTGAGGAATACCAATTTTGGTGTAAACACGTGAAGTAGAAGTGGGACGAGAACATACTGTGGATGCTCTTCCGGTAGCTCTTCTCTTTCTTATCGAAGAGAGTGTACTTGTCCTTGGGCAGCATTTCCTCCTCGCGCGGCATCTCTGCGAACCACCGAGTCACAGCCTTGGAGGTCTGACCATTGCGCTCGAGTGCGGCGCTGACGGTGTCGACGACCCGGTCCACGGAGCGCAGGCGCTTGCGCTGTCGCGCCTTCTGAGGGGAGGAGAGACGCCACGGGGTCTTCCTATTAGTCGGGAAGGAAGGTTAGCCTGGGTTCAAATAAGTGGGACTTTGGTCGAAGGTCCAGATACGCACCAGAGAAGACCGCCAAATAGTGCTTGGGTTGATTTGAACATTGTTGGTTGGTGGTGCTGTCAGGGTGTAGCCGGGAGAAAATCGTGCTCGGAGTCGGGAGGTGTAGCTGGTCCGTGCATTGGATGTATAAAAAGTTACTGATAGAATGGATCATTTACTAAGTGATATAGTTGGCATAGGAAGATTGGGAAGTTATTATGACTTCGACAGCAGGCTTAATTGTTCATAGTAAATTTCGACTAGTTCATATTATCGAAGAAAAAAGGTCATACTGGCCTATGTTGATTTACTGTGAATGGTTACCCCAACCAAAATCATGTGATTTCGGGAATCTGTCGATTTCTAGGGACGCGATATTTTTCTACAACTACACTTGAGTCAATTACATCTGCTCTTCGGAGAACATACTCCTTTCCAAGCTATTATTAGCTTGCGCGAAGCTTTTTTTGTTCATGGATTGCGTATAGCAGCTTTACACCATCCATCATGGACTCGAGCGCAACTGCCGAGGCCCCGTCCCTCCCTTGGAGGGCTTTATCCAATACAACAATATGGGGAGTGGCGGGCCTGTGTCGCGGTTTCCTTTCGGCTTTCTGTCATGCGGAATGCCACGGGAAAGAAGCATTTACGGAACTGTTAGACTCTCGACATGACGTTTCGCAACGGACACGAGGATTGATTACAGGTATGCCGGGGCACAACAAAAGGTTCATTAGACCAATGCAGTTGCTAATTGATCTATTTGAAAATAGTGTCCAATCATATCAGCGTGTACGTGCCTCTAACAGCCTCGGATCGAGACAATCCATACTCCAAATGTGAAGATGGCTGACATTGCGCCGGAATACCAGAATGGATGACCCATTACTATGGGGCATTTTGCCTCCACGATTTTGGAATAAGCGGTGGTCTTTTGGAAGCTACGATATTTGTTACCAGACAAGGTACATATCTACAAGTTCACCCGAATGCTTCTATGGATTGTTTTACTGACTGTACTCGCAGACCACTGTCGCTCTTCTTCACTATGGGACAGGTGCTGCCCACTCACCGCTCCGCGCATTCTGCATTCGGTGGTCTAGCTCAACCCGCTATGACCGAGGCTATTCGCTTGTTATCGAAGGGCCCTTTCCCCGTTGACCACCATCGCGCCGTGCCTGAACGTCAGCGCTGGAGCTGGCACAATGTTTGTGTCGATCCTTTCTCCGACCTGCAAGTTGCCTACACAACCGATGGCAAGGACTCGCACCTGGCACCTACCGCATACTCCTGCAACTCGAATTCGTGGGTCCATATCTTCCCCGAAGGCAAGATTCACCAGTCGCCGCGAAAGACCATGCGCTATTTCAAGTGGGGAATCGCACGGCTCATCTTAGAGCCCAAAGAGTGTCCTGATGTTGTTCCGATGTGGATTGAAGGCTTCGACGATGTCATGCACGAGAGTCGGGAATTCCCGCGATTCCTTCCTCGGCCTGGCAAAAATGTTAGCGTTACCTTTGGCTCCAAGGTCGACTCGGATCTCGTATTTGGGGAAATGAGATCTCGGTGGCAAAAGTTGAAAGCCAGGGTCGAGAAGAGTTATCCCGATTCCCGAGATATGCCCCTGGGGGTGCTAAGTGATGAGCTGTTGAATGACAAAGAAGCTGTCGAGCTGCGCAAAGAGGTGACCTTGAAGATTAGGAACCTTGTCTTGGACGTTCGCCGATCACGCGGATTGCCCGATGAAGACCCGAAGGAGGGCTTGGTGGATACCTGGCTGGAGGAGGGTCCCAAGCGTGAGGGCCATATGAAGGACGATTCCTGGGTTCGGGATATCTGAGCCCCTGTGCATAGATTGTATAACATTTTATAGATTTGATTATGAGCAAAAGTGAGATATGAGCATTGGATCACTTTCCGTCAGTCTTCCTTTTTGTTATTTACGACTTTTTTTCAGCCCTAAACGCCAGCCTCCGCTATAAAAGGCAACCTTGGAAAGCGGTGGCTCCCTGGCAGTACCAGGGCGGTAACTCGATTAATGTGGGGGCGATAAGCGATAAAGGCGGGACATGTTGCCGGCCCCGGGGGAGAGCACCTGGGCACTTCACTTGGTCAAATCCGCAGCTCAACCGATGCCCAAAAAGCGCCAGCGGTTTCACGCAAAGCCGGCCAACTCAGCACATCACAGCCTTGCGCTATCCGGGACTCGTCATCATGGCGGGTCTGGGGTCCAGGGCTCAGCGTCAGCGACGTCAGTCAACGACTTGATCAGTCACCTCCGCCGTACACAGACGCCTAGCGCTTCTGAGGATGATCCATCAGGCTCTCAACGTCCGCAGCGCTCATTTGTTACTCCCCGTTCAGTTCACCCTTCCCTTCGGGATGTACTCGAACTCCCTGCAACTCCGCCGCCGCGACCTCGCCCCGGCGCTCGTCGCACGATATTCGGGGTTCGTCCATCTCGACCAACTGTTGGGCCTCCAGCGCCTGCGAGTTGGCTCTCTGGAAATATGGACTTGGTGGGAGACCAGGGATTGCAGAACTGGATGCCGGGAGCCTTGGAAGAGGAAATACACCGGCTAACCCGCCTTCACGGGCCGCGATTTCCGGACCAGAGGAGCCTGGTACACCTGATGCTGAAATCCATGGCTTTGAACTGGAGTTGGCATGTTGAATACGATGGGCCTTTTCTGTCTCATCTTCCAAATCATATCAAGGAATCGCTTTTGAGTTATGTTGCTGTCTACGCAAGAGGCTCACCTCTCGGAGGGCACATGAAGGGGCTGAGACCGCTCTTTTTGACCCGGCAGGATCAGGATCTAATTGGCGAGGAGAACCCTGATTTCAACGAGTCGAGAGTTGCTGATGCGGACTCCAAAATCGCGCGGTTGGATCTGGGAAATGCTCTAGGAAACTGGATAACTTTGAGGCAGCTCACAAACGAGATGATCCTCTCCCCAGATCCAGCCGTGGGCGTCTTAGGCCATGAAATAGGGGAGGATGTCCCAACTTCATGGGATGAATATGTTCACAACGGCAGAGCAGATGCTATGCTTGATCGTGTTCCAGATCCGTCCATACCCAAGGCTATTACCCAGACCCTTCGCTTCCCCGAACTACGTGCCCTATCCCTGGCACACCCGACACCTAATGCTGCAAGTTGGACCACTCTTCTCAACCTACTAGCACATTTGCCAACCCTCACTCATCTATCGCTTGCCCACTGGCCTATACCGTGCAGGCATCCACGCGCTGCTACTACTCGCATTCGCGGCCCAGTGGCCCGCTTCTTGACCCCGGATGCCTTTGACGACAACTGGGCCGAAGCTGCGAGTATCCTCCGTCAGTTATCCCGTTCGACCTACTGTCTGAAATGGTTAGACCTCGAGGGCTGCGGCGAATGGCTACCAGCCTTGAAATGGGTTGGAAAAGACCCAGATGGCTTTCCACAGAGCCCTGATACTGTTGGCCCAGAGTGGAACGGATCTTGGAGAGATGTCGAATGGCTTGGGATCGGCCCTGGCTTTCTGGATTTGACAAAATCTCACAGCTCGTCTCACGTGCCGCCCCACGAAATCCCTGCCCCGCAAACACACTCGTCGGATTCTTCTATCCATGCAACCCACCTGGAAAATGCGCGTCATGTACTGAGGCACATTCGGCAGATGAGGAGGGGAAGGAAATGGCTCGAAATCGAGCTCGGGTTAGGGCTTCAAGACGTTGAACCTGAGATAATTAGATTGCCGGATGGGCAGGAATTATCAGTTTATTTATGAAAGTCTGCTATGTGCGCAATGGCTATGTGTGCAATGTAACATGTACAATGTACACCACTGAACCAAAAAACCCCAATCATACGCATGTAATCAGAAATGCAAATTGGAACTATTTTATTCATGTCTGACTATACAATGGTATCCGGACAAAACGCCCGCAGATTTTAAACTATGTCACTATTTCTTCGAACGATTAAACGTCTTCAGGGGGTCAACCTTCCCACCAGACTTTCCACGAGCACGGTTGCGATCTCTCGCCTTGCGGATGCGATTCTGCTTCGTCTTTGTGAACCCAACATACCCAGCACCCTCCTTCGAGAGACCCTTGCGTCCCTTGGCAGGCATCAGGTAATCAGGAACATGCTTGAGATGCGCCTGGACACGCGCAGCGCGCAGCTCGCCGTCGTGGCGAAGCTGCCGCAATTCTTCGGGGTTTTCCTCGAAATGGCGCTTGAGCTTTTCACTCTTGATCAGTTCCTGGCGAATCTCGCGTCCTCGTGCTTCTTGCACTGCGAGTCTGGTCACGGAGCGCAGGGCATCTGTCATACGGTAACGGAAGGCGTCGACTTGCGTCATCTCAAAGTGGTAGGGCTTGACTTCGTGGCCGAGCTTGGTTTGCCGCTTGATGATCTTGGCGAGCAAGGCTTCGTCGTTCTTTGTGCTGGGGATTGAGGTGGGTCGGTGCTTTCCGTGCTGCTCGGTGGGGATAACGAAGGAGAGAGCCATTCCTGCTTTACCAGCGCGGCCGGTACGTCCGATGCGGTGGGTGTAGGATTTGGAGCTGGTGGGGAGGTCGAAGTTGAGAACGCAGGCGACATTTTGGAAATCGATACCGCGCGCAATGCTGTAGTCCTTCTCTTTGCTGGTCATCTTGCGGCGCTTCTTGGTTTGCGGCTTCTTTCCCTTTCCGCCTTCATCCACTGCCTCCTCATCCTCACTGCTTCCCATCTCTTCCTTTGCTTCCTCGTCCTTTCCTTCCTCTTCGGTTGCCTCCTTGGGCTCGGGTGACTTCTTCGATTTGGTCACTCCCAATACTGCTTGCTCGTCGGCTGCAACAATGATATCGTAGACACCCTTATTGAATTCCTCAACAACGTGGATCCGCGAGTTGATGGGCAGTTCTGAGTTGAGGACACAGCTCTTGAGGCCGAACTGTTCGAGGAAAAGCTTCACACGGTAGCATCGGTCCACATCTGCTACGAAAATGATGACCTTGCCCTTGATGAGCTGCAGCTTGAAGATAACGTAGGTGAGGAGGAATTTCTCGTCTTCCGCGCATCTGTTGGGAGTTGAGTTAGCAACTGCTAAGATAGCGGCTGTGGCATATTGTCTTACCGGACGACAAACTGGCTGACACCAGCACCCTTCTCTTCCTTCTCCTCGAGCTTAAGAATCACAGGGTTCCGGCAGTACAAGTCCTTCAATGTATCCACTTCCGAGGTGAGAGTAGCACTCATCAAGAATGTCTGCGCTCCTCGGGGAATGGCCTTGGAGAGAGCATTGATCTCCTCATCATATCCGTATGACAAGACCAGATCCGCCTCATCGATAACCAAATGGGTGATTTTATCGAGCGACAAAGCGGAGTTGTTAACGTTGCTGTAAACTCGGGTAGGCGTCGACACAACGATATCCGGGAAATCGGCAAGTATCGAACGTTGGACTTCGTCAGACACCTTCTGTGTTAGGTTGACTGACCGAATATCCTTTCCACAGAAGCTGGCAAAAGAGGTAATCACTTTCTGGACCTGTTCTGCAAGCTCGCGGGTGGGGACAAGGATAAGAGCGGTTGTGGCTTTTGATGAGGGATCGGCCTGTTTGTAGACAGTTAGGCTACGTTCTATACGAAGTATCCATGGAGAGGGGGAAAGATGGAACGAACTGTCTTCTGCTGGAGGATGGCTTGCAAGATTGGGAGCACATAGGCGGCGGTTTTGCCAGACCCAGTTTTCGCACGGGCTATTTCTGTTAGCACCTGTCCTTTGTTCATCAATTCAAGAGTCTCGTCTCACCAAGAATATCCTTTCCTTCGAGGGCAAGCGGAATCGCCTTCGACTGTACAAGAGTGGGTTTGGTGAACTTTTCCTTGATCAGGGCCTGGCGCAATCGAGGATCGAGATTGAGGGCTTCAAAGTCGAGTTCTTGATCCTCAGCCCCAGCAGCATCGGGGGATGGGACATCGTTTGCGTCCAACTTGCGTTTCATCGTGATTGTGCTAGGCATTTGCTTGATCGAATCTGCGGAAGTTGAAACTTTTTTGGGAAATCTTGTCGGGCGGTGAGATTATTGCGGGCGGTGAATTGGAAGATTTTATGTTGACATAATATTTGCTGCCTCAGGCGTAAACTACGTATATCTAGTTAACTACGGAACAACTAACTACAAATGAAACGAGAGTCTGTGAGTCTTTGAGGCTTCGCTGGTCTTATTGCTGCATCACAGTCCTGTTTATATCTGACCTGTAATGTCATTTATGGATACCTATAGAGAAACCTTTTTTGGCGACCTCGTACCCACAACCGGAAACATATCTTAGTAGTTACTAGTTAGTCGATATAGATCAAGTTCTGAACAAGGATTTTTGGTGGACTGCCACCAATGAATGCAAGGTTCATGATCAATGAGCCTAAAAAGGCCAATGGTGTAACAAATTTATAAGATATCATTGACATATCTCTCAGCTTGAAAAAGTTCGGCGAATGGCAGTAAGCCAACGAAGGCATACAACGCACTGTGCTGCTAGGACAAGGACAGGTTATGTCCACGGGCCATCCTGTATATATCTCATTCCTGGTAGGATCTTAAAAAAAGACTCAACGCGAAGATTAACTTAAGTTGAACACTAAAGTGTAAGGACCCGATATGTCAAATGAGCCTATAGCTCGCCATGAGTAGCTATGAACTCTCCACGAACTTCGAAACCTGCGGCAGCAGAACTCGCGTATTGTGCAGTCATGATCTTCCTTTCTCCAGCGTTTGAATCGTTGGCACATTTACTTACATAGACATAATTCCATGACATTCCTCGTCGTACGCACTCCAACTAACCGACGGCTTCCGTCATCACGTTGGCCTTCTTTTTCAAAATCGGATCAAAATGTCAAGAAATCCGAAGAATAAGGGCTTATGATAACAACGGATATTTAATGAATCAAAAACTACAGACGTTGTGCATCATCTCACCTAGCGCTTTGCTTAAAAAAATCAAGAAGAGCGGAAACAATAATGATAAAAATAAATTAGATATGAACGATGAATCGCCGACACACATCTCTACACAGGCCATGTGGGCCGAGACTGAGGGAGCTCTCGTGTAAATCAATTCCACGGTGCCTCGCGTGCTCCATTCCTATTTGACAAACTCACTCTGAGCGTATTCTAGGAACCTCACCCTACGCTTCCGTAATCTTGCCAATGGGGAGAACTTTGACATTATGCTCAACAGTATAAACTTTGCCAAAGTTCACCCGGGACATGCAATCCTGCTTCTGATCAGGCCTGGCAGGGTCAACCTCCAGGGGCTCTTTGGCCATCCGGGGCTCGGCCTGCACAATCCGAGGTCTATCACCTCGCATATGAAGGACAACATGTTTGCTTCGGTCGATCCCAGCTTTGGCCACGCCTTGCCCACTGTAAGTGGTGATGGGCCTAGAATGGTGGATTAGTATGCTGCAATGCAACTGACGTTGGATGCGAATGTGCACACGTACACACACCAGCAGCAGCCCCGCTGCTCTTTGACCACTATCATGCGTCGGATGCTACTGTATATGGGCTCTTGATACTTTCCCCTGGTGAAAGGGCTTGATGATGAGTGAGAGACTTTCTTGCTGAGTACAGTTCCATGCCAGCCTGCATTCTCATGCCAGAGCATGGAAAAGACCTAGATGATCGCGATCAATCATCAGTAGGGGCTTAAATATGACATTTCATAGGTGAACAAACCCTGCCAACTCGGAAAAATCTCCGAGGATCGCTCTGCCTCTTGTAGCCTGGTGTGAATTATCGTCAGTCTATTGGTCCGGGTATGCACGAAGCGTGCCCAGGCTATTGCTTACGAGGATCCAGCGTCTCCCGACCGCCGTTACTGCTGGGGATCACGTATGCTGGTTCCAATGACTTTTGCTGCATGTCAAAATCAGCCAATTAGTCCAAGAAGAAGGAAAATATATATTACACACCACCTCCTTGTCATACTTTCGTTGGGCACCCCCCAGAATGGGGTCATTGCGGTGACTGTGACTACTGGCCCCATAGGGCAGCACCATATGTGAGGCTGGATGATCCCCGAGACTCAATCCCTGCAGGTCATCGACGTGGACTCGGGGAATGGATGCAACACTTTTTTGATGAGGCGGTGGCTTCGCTACGGTCGGATATGCTTTCACGCCCGGTTCTGCGACCGGCTTTTTCTCGTGCTACCTCATATTGCATGTCCGGGCTCCATCCAGGCGAACTGCTTTTGTTATTTGCTACACTTCCTGCACCTGCACCTGGATACATGCGATGATTGGCGAGCTGCCGGTATCCGGTGGCTGGAGATTGGTGATTGAAATCCGTTTAATCATTGGGATATGTTTGGTCGTAATCGAGCGGGCCCTGCCGTTGTACATGATCTAGGCGACTTGCATGGCGGCCTGGGCCTGGGACGAATGGAGCCTGATGCCCGTATGCCTCGTCGTGCTTGGAAAATGCGGACCCGGAGGTGCTTCGTTGGCGCGGCGCAACGCTTTTATTAAACGCGTTACTTCCTTGGACTTCCCACATAGGAAGAATGAACAACTAACCTTGAATCTTGACCTGACATCGCACTTAACGCGCCACCCGGGTAGTCCCACTCGTAAAGAAATCCTTCTTTCGTTTTGGTCAGTTTTTAAATCATTATTTATGTAGCCAGTGATGCCTATCAGAATGGTTGTAGATGGGCCGAACCCATCGGTTGTTCTCAGGATGAAGTACCCAGTTCGAAGCCATAACTTTCACATATCTGATCAAGAAATTAGAAATAGAGGGAGACCAGACAAAATATAGGCCTTGGGGTTTCTATATCCCTCATCAGGAACTCCTCAAGTACCTGTACCCTGCGGCTCGGTCCGTTCACATCTTTCAATAGACATGATATGCATGGCGCGTATGGCAATCAAGTTGGTTCGTTGTCAAGCACTCGCAGAAGAGAGGCTTTGACAACTAGCACATTATCGTGGACCCTAAATAGGATTCCAATAAGATCCCAGTTCAATGAGGAGAATACTGTATTTGATGGCTGATGTACCCTCAAATGCTTTTACAATTTGCGCTCGGACAACCAACCGAAAGGCGAAGCGCGGGCGCTAATGCGATGGAGATTAGTGAATTAACGGGCAATTGGTTTCATTTGGGCACCAAAGCCCCAGTAACTGCGCCCTCATCCTCACCCCACTAGGGTTATCGTGTGACTCCGACAAAGCTTCCCCTATTTCATTCTCTCTAGAAATTACCCGGTCTATCATTCTTCTGCTGTTCAAGCTTGCTTACCAACATTCGAATGTGTTGGCCTATAATCCCCTTCGCGAAATGTGCCCGGGAGGTTCTGTGAAACCCTTCAACAATGACATCTTGGCCAGGGGCACGGAATTGTGTATCCCAGGTGAGTTGACCTATATTAATATGCGCTAACCTCGAGGCTCATCACGATCTTACCATGTAGCCGCCGTTCACGGCAGAGTACCATACCAACACTAGAAGTGAAGTCTGCCTTCGCAACATTTCATTTGCTCCAACTTCACGGCTGGGGGAGTTAGAAAGGGTGGCTCGAGCATCAAATTCCACAGCATCGGAAACTCTGCAACCATTATCGCCACTTCCTTCGGGTGGTTTTGCTCCAATAACGACATCAACGGCGCCAATATTCGGCCATGCCGGATCAGACATGGTTAATGATGGCGATCAAGCCACCGGAAACGAGTCCTGGTCACCACAAAGTCTCCAACAATGGAACGAATATGATGCTTTCACCGAATCATCCGTAGCATCCTTCCCGATTCAGTACTCCCCTGAAATAGATGGGCCAGTCAACTTCTATCGCATGCCTGCGCCGCCCCCTGAATCAGCCCGTGACACCAGTGCCAAGGTGACAAAACTTATAGGGGAAGTATTAAGTACACATGAAGATGTGTCAGCCAAACGCAATCGGATTGGGGAAATGCGGCACATGCTTGGACAGAAACGGGATGAAGAAGATGATGTGCGGGTAGCACTACGGAGCAAGTTAAATCTCATAACTGCCGAACACATACATGAGGACCTTGCTGCTATCAACCACACCATCAACAACCTCCAGATTGCGACTGCGTCTTATTTCATCCTTGAAAATGAGTATCATAGACAGGAAAAGGAACTGGCGCAGCTGGAACACGATTACAACAGACGCTTAGACACCTTGCAAACCATCTTCAAGAATCAAGGCGGCTCATTGGCACACTTCCAACCCATCAAATCAGACACCGAATCTTCCTCGGCGGATTACGCCTCGGAGTATGGAGACCAGACTTTGCCCCAAGTGGCTGATTACCTTTCCATGGTTGGTGAGGCGCGCATACTCGCGGAACGACTGTCGGAACTAGAGAAAGAGTACCTGGTCCTAGTTGACCAACGCGAGCTCCGCGAACGAGTTGGCATCCCACTTGACAGCACGGCCCTCAACTTCCTTTTTCGATATCCAAATGAAAAGAATAAACTTGAGACCGAGCTAGAACAAATCCGCCATAACATCGAGTCGCACCCGGAACATGCCAATCGCTCTGCAGGGATTGCAGAAGAGGAAGATAATGAAGAGGAGGTGATACAGCATTTCATGCCCGAAATACCAGAGGATCAGACGTACAATGATCCGCTACATTCCTCGGAATTTGAGGACTCTTCGCCTTTCTTTGCGTCCGCGCATCCACATCCTGTCAACAAAGGCACTTTCGTGAATCGATGGCTTCTTCATCGGTTGCGGCACTCAAGAGTTGAGATCATGCGGTTTAAGTCTGCACCTGAATTGATAGATTTGGATAACAAAGGCTGGGGGTCAGAAAATATTAGCAGGATGGCGATGATGCTTTGGTTTCAAGATGGTGCGGCGAGCGTGGAGCACATTAGGAGTAAATCAGCTGGGTAGTGCATGTATACTTTGGTAGAATTAGGCATTTATAGGCGTGTCATCGATTTCCTATCTCTTTTTATAGCAATCAAACCATAGGGTAAGATTTGACCTACTCTTAGCCACACGTTGATGTTGATCTCACATACAAGTCATAGTATCTCAACCCTATACAGTCTTCATTACTCCACCCAACGATGTTCTCCTCATATAAAGCCGCAGCGCGTCTGACCAACAGACACATCTATGTATTTCAAAGTTAAAATTATTGGTTAATCAGAGTGAATCTTACCATACTTCCAAATAGTAAATTCTAAAATCATCAATAGGTGCATTGCCAATGAACTTGACCATAACCCATCCGGGCAATTTCTCACTCTAACCCGAAAACAAATCCCTCAAGCTCGAGATAAGCCCTTTCCAGATCATCATTAACAATAACTCGATCAAAAATGACCGCGGTCTCAGCAAACTCAAGCTCCCTTCTCGCCTGATCCAATCTAATCTGAATATGTTGCTCATTCTCCGTCCCTCGACCCCTAAGCCGCTGCTCAAGCACGACAAGATCCCGCGGTTTGATAAAAACATAGCGGGCCTCAAACTCAGGGTTTATTGTCACCTGCTGCACACCGACCATGTCGATATCAAGAATAGGAATGAGTTGTTTCTCGAATATTTCTGCGAGTGCAGCTTTACTTGTGCCGTAGAAGTTATCGGCGTACATTGCATCTTCTATCAGATCTCCGTTGATTTTGAGAGTGTTGTATGTCTCGACAGAAACAAAGTGGTAGGATATACCATCTTTCTCACCGGGACGTGGTTGCCGGGTTGTGTGGGAGACTGTTAGTTCGAATGTGTTTGGGTGTGCGTCAATGAGCTTTTGGATAAGGGTTCCTTTTCCTGCGCCCGAGGGACCGGAGATGACAAGAGGTCTTCGATCCTGAGGTGCTGCTGCGGGGGTTAACATGCATGGTGTGGAGTTGGAAGGTTGATCACGTACAGGAAGCCATGTCGTCAACAACCACAGGGTTCTTGTCTTGATGATGAATATCGAGAGCTTGGGGTGGGTAGTGGCTCAATATATGCAAGGAGCAATACCCAGGTATACCTGAAGTCTAGGTTGTGGTTCAAGGGAAGTGCTCGGTATAGATTAAAGTGTGTGACGGACGGCCTTACCGCTCATCGGCTCATAGGAAGCGAGTGAGTCCTACATTAATTCACGCCTAAACAGGACTAGCAATTCAATAATAAGAAAGTAGTATTGCATGAGATGTTATCCATTCGCATCGTGATTCTGTTCATTATGTACATGACCCAAACAATTTCCCATATCCATATCCATATCCATAAGTCGATTGGCATTTGCCGTAAAAAGCACGCTGATTCCTAACCCCAAGAATTGTTGAACGTTCAAAATAAAATCCCATACATCAAGTCCTAGCTCAATCTGCAGTCGTAATTCAAGAGTACTGTGTCTCTCCCTCACTATCACTCAGACTATCGCGGCGACGGCTCCGTCCATCACGGCGGTATCCCTTCGTCAAGCCCGGAATTGGATGCTTGTAGCTCTTGGTACCAGAATCCTCTGTGTCGACGTTGGAATATTGGTACTCGGAACGGGAGCCCGCAGATGAGAAATCCAGGGGCTCAGTGAAGTGGCCTTGGGGCACGGAGCGTCGTTCACGGTGCTTGCGGGGGCTGCTGGTGCGGGGGCTGCTGGTACGAGATGAAGGTGCAGGAGGTGGGCCAGATGGGGCAACCTCGCTGCGACGTTCACGGCGGCGGTTGTGACGGCGGGTGGACGGGTCGCGGACGCGAGGCTCTTCGGTCACTTGGCTGATAACATCCTCGCTGCCTTGGGTGAACGAGAAGCCGGAGGGATCGCGACGGGCACGGCGTGGCTGTTCGTAGGCAAAATCATGAGACTGGCTCATTTCGCTCTGTTGGTAGGAGGTAGGCGGGGCGGAGGTGTCGTAGTCGCTGCCGTTGTAGGTTCCATCGGCTTCACGGTTCATGCCCCCAATACGAGCGGGCTTCTCTTCTCGGTAGGCGCGTACGTCGGCATCGTCTGCGCCTTCCCACTGTTCATGCTTGTTGCGCCGGAGGAGCTTCTCTTTGGCGGATTCTCTGAACTTCTTGCCCCTTGACTTCTCCTCTGTAATAGTCGTCGCTGTGTCGGTATATGATCCTTCTGTGTACGTGTATCCATCGTCATTGTAGCCCTTGCCGACAACACTTCCGCCGCCGAGGTTGGTACTCGCTGTAGCGTTACTGAGAGTCTTTCCGTCGGGTCCCTTTCGTCGCAGAACAGTGGACTTGTAGTCATCCCAGTCGCCCTTGTGCCAGACGAATCCGCCGTTCTTGGCCCAGAAGAAGAACCAGATTCCACCGACGACAAACAACAGTCCAATGATGGCAAATAAGGCCATCAGGCCTTGCATCTTGATGCTGTGAGGGTCGATCGTACCCTGTCCATATTTTGGCTTGGTGTCATCGGAGTCGGTCCGTGGGAAGAGGTTGTGGGTATTAGTACCGAAAGAAGATAATGTATCAGCGGTGTCCTTGTTGCTAGCATCTCGGGCATAGATTCCGGCGACGGCGGCCGCTGGAAAGTCGGGGGAGTCCCCGTTCGGCCAAAATGGAGGCATGATGGAGTATTAGAGTGGCCAAGAGCACACGGCTCAGGACTGGACTCACTATCAGGTCGTTAGTATGCGTAGATCCTTGAGATTGGAAAATGAGGTGTATGAAAATACATTAAAGCAGGTGATCAACACCAGATGTAGATAGATATCTCTGACACGCTGGAATGTGGGTATAGAACGTGGGTGTGGAATGCGGGCAAAAATGAAGCACAATGTCTAGATGGGTATCAGTTGGAGGTTGAAGATAATATGGGAAAAATCTAAACCTAGGTATGATTCAGCTTGACTTCCGGCACAAAATTGAGGAGGTTGGAGGGAGAGGCTGGGGACCTGTGTTTACATGTCGGTTGTCACGGGCGACCGGCTTACATCATCCCCCACACGCTGTCCACCCACGGGTCCAGTGGACGGGTAGAGTTGGGCCACCCGTGGGTCGATCTATAAAAAGAGTCGATCATTGGTTTCTATCTAGATCTGAGACATGGCGTTTTAAAATGGGTTTATTTATGGATCAATTATATCAAGTCGACAAATGCCACCCACTGGAAGCCTCAAGGAGAGGCATACACGGTCGAAAGCTGTGATCGCGCTCAGACAGCTTGTAGGGTATCAAAACCAACTAAACAGCAAAAGCAGGGGAAAAAAGCATCAAGACCAATGGACAATAAATCAGACAAGGAGATCAACGAGAATGTGAAGATCAATCGAATCAATACAAAGCCCAAGAACAACACTACGAGGCTCCCAGCGAGACAAAATACCAACAAACACATAAAATCATAGATATGGCCAAAGAAAAAGATGACCTGTTGAGACATGACAAGTAAACAGATATGGGTATAATCTCTCTCCGCCACTCGGAGTCGCGAACAAAGTAACCGGGAGAAAGACACAGACCCAACAAGAAAGGCTATACACGAAACGCTGACAAAAAGAGACATCAGAAAGTAAAGCACATCAGACTTGTCATTGCAGGTCATCAGAATCGTACAATCATATCGCCATAACAAACACATCATCATGGGGTTCATACCCGACAGTTTTGCCCAAGCACACAAACATAGTAAGAAAATCGAGACAGCAGTTGCAAATGAAATAACACACAAAAAGTCCTCCCAGTCTAGCGAGACTGTTGGGCAACAGGCAACTCTGGGCCTCATGACAAAGCCCAGCCTGTTGCCCAAGTCGCCCAACAGATTCTTGCTTTAGGTAATTACCATTGTTTTTTTTTTGTTCCACAAGCACCCCGATCCCGAAGAGGAAAAAAAAAGAAAATGCAACATGTGCGAAGCAATCGAAACTTTTGACAAACGGACAAGGCCAGCCACAAACGGCTATGCGTACATAAGATGGAATCACAACAAAAAATAACCTAACCATGAAAAATGAAAAGAAACACAAAAGAGGACACCATCTAACAGGGTGGGTAACAAGATTAGTTGTAGCGTGTCCCGTAGGCTGACCGGCTGTCTCGACGACTGGATCGTTCCGACCGCCTATCATCTCGCCTATCATCTCGGGGACGCCGCGCCACATCTTCAAGTGCCCGGCGGCTGGAGCCGCCCGTATAATCAGAGCTGGTACCGTTCACATGCTGCTTGGATGGCCGCGGGCCGCCGATGTTCAGTCGAACGGCCCCAGTCTCCCCAGCACGAATGTTAATAGATTTGCCTGCTACTGATTCAGATGTAAATCCAATCTGGAATCCGTTCAACATGAGGGTCATGTTCTTGTCATCTTCCTTCCGTGAGGCTGTGGCACTGCCGCGGCTGCTACGACTCTTCTGGCTACCGCTCTCGCTCCCATTGCCGTGAGACGCTTTGTTAGGGAGCAAAGCCTCGGCGGAGAGAGGTAGTGCAGCTGCTGAGGTTCGGCCGGATCGGGCTGCCTGGTAGTTCTCGGCTTGACGCTCGCGGTCTTCGAGGTCGCCGCCGGCGCTGGATGGTTCATCGTAGTAGTACTCGGTTGGCTTACGCCGCCGAGAGCTCGCCACGGCCACCTGAGCAGTCCGTCGATCATCCTGGTAGGACGCTGATCGTCGGGTGTCTCGTAGGCTATGGGCTCTCTCTGGCAACGGGGCGTCCCTTGAAATTCGACGATGGCCGCGATCCTGAATCGCCGGCAAGGCAGATGCAAGTTCCGGCATGTCCATGGGGTCCAAATCTCGGTCCATGCCTCTGTCCCTGTCTATTCCTCGTTCTCTCTCCATGCCTCTGGATGGGCGACGGGAGTGCCCAATACCGGTAGAGGTATGCATTTTCCGTGGATCTGGCCGCTCTGGTCGCTTCGCCTGGTGAATCTGTGGGGTAGACCTGGGCTTGGGCCTGGGGGGTGGCAGCATCCGATAGAAGTCTTCATCCCGTTCCTGGTGCGTTGTAGGAGGACGGTCATGGACGTCTCGCGAAGAATAGTGTTCCTCCTCTTCATACCATGGTTCATACCCAGCATCCATGGGTGGGGGAGGGGGGGCATATATAGATGAGGACCGAGGGCGTGGCCCCCGGGACTCGGAACGCTCTCGTGCATACTCCGAGGGGGGTAGTCTGAGGCTGATGGGGCGTAGTAGGAAGGTTGTCCATATGGAGATGACGAGTATTGCATGTATGCCGAGTTGGCTGGTGGAGGGCCATGATCGTATCCGTGCTGGGAGTACATTGGAGATGCCATTCCTGAACCCATTCCATGTGGTATCCCCTGGAAACTCATGGGTCGTCCGTCTGAGTGGTAGACATGGTACGAAGCGGAGCGGCTGGGTCGACCAGGGTTACTCACGTGAATGTTCTCTATGGCGCCGGCTGGATATCGAGCGGTGTGCGGGGACGATGAGTATTCTGGGACGGGTGGACGCTGGGGGTAGTAGGGATATTCGCTCTGTCGATGGTCCATCGGGGTTGATTGATGGTACTGCGGGACACCGTATTCGTGATAACCGTCGTGATATTGGCGGGCATAGGAAGGTTCTCGTCGACGAGACTTGGAAGACGACCGGGGCACGTGAGCATGATGGGCAGCGCCCGGATAGGCACCAACCATCGTCTCTTCGCGCGAGGGTCGTGATCGTTCCTTTTCCTTGCGTTCTCTGGTTGAACTTTTCCTGGCGAGGTCGGTACGTCTGGGGGCGTCCGGCTTAAGAGGGATCGGGGGACTTTTTCCGCCCGACGGCCCAGATTGGGTGCTATTAACCGTAGCGGCGGTGCGACTAGAATAACCTGAGTCACTGGCGGCGTCGATCAGCGGCTCCTGGAATCTTTCCAACCTCGAGGATATTTTGGCAGCTGTATTGGCAGCAATATTGGCAGAGTATCTAGTATCGGGTACAATTTCATTGCCTTCTTCGTCGTAATCCTCGACACAAGCAGGCCGGGGGCCCTTACTGGCCATTATGTGGGCTGCAAGGCAATCGGGTGTCTGAAAAAAAATATTAAAAAAACAGGGTTGGTCCCGTTTCTGACAAGGGCGACGTGGGTGGCTCCCACAGGGCTCCAGAACAAGTTCAACTTACAGCAAGCCACTGCTCCCCTTTGACGATGAGTCAGAATGGATATTATTCTCCCCCTCAACCCCGTAGATCTGACGAAATAGGTTTCCTTTTTTTTTTTCTTTCCTTCTCCCCAGTGCCCAACCCAAGCGGGCCACTCAAACAAGTAAGCGGACCTGCCGATCGCAACGGGCGATGGCAGGCGGAGGGCGACGGGTTCTGTCAAGCGGAGAGAGCGAGATGGTACTTTTCAGATCGCAACGTCTCCATCGAAGTGGGATGTTAGGCTAAGAGTCGGGCGGAAGCGTTGGGTCAAAGAAAGGAAGAAAAATAGAAAATGACCTCTCTGGCAGACGATGAGTGGTGGAGCGTACTGCAGCTGCAGAGGTTGGGTTGAGAATTTGGGATCCTCTGCCTGACGGTCTTAGAACCCAGTGGGGGAGAGTGGAGTCGATGGGCAGCGATAAAAAAAAAAAAAAGGTCGAAGTGAGGGGTGATTTGATATCTAAAGAGAAAGAGACCTGATATCTAAGGGGAGTAAAAAAAAAGGAGAGAAGTATAGAAAAGAAAGAGAAAGAGGAAAAGGGAAAGAGTAAACACCCGAAGGCACAGGGCACAGGGTTTAAGAAAAAAAAAAAAAAAAAGGGAAAAGAAAAAAAATTCAAAAAGTTTCAAGAGGCTCTCTCGGTACCCAACACAAAAAGAAAGTGGGGGACGTAAGTGTTTTATTTTCTACATGTATTTGGCTTATAGAATTATATATATTCTCTATATTCTGTATATTATGTATATTCCAAGTATAGTATTGGAATTGTATTGTTTTACTTTTTTAAGCTCGGGACCCGCTGGGAAAATCCTTGGTTTTTGATTTCCCTATCCATGGGTCTCTTATCTTTATTTTCCCTTTTTCCCTTCGATTCCTATTTCTCCCTAAAATCCACGCCCAACCACCTTTGCGGCCCAATGATCGCCTCCACTGTAAAGGGTCTTCCCTGTTCAAAAGAAACATATTTCTTCGGCTGTTCGGTTCTCGGGTTCAATATAATCGTTTGATTCTCTTTCTCATTTTCGTGTTAGAATGCAGGGCCTCAAGTACAATGACAATGTATCCAACACACGGGAAAAAGTCGGTGGGGATGACACCCTGCAATCCAGGCTACAACTCAGTAGTACTGCGAAGGTGACTCTTACTACGCTGTACTCACATAGTATGTACAATGTAGGCAGACACCTGTATGTATCAAAGGTAGATGCCTGTATGTGTCGACAATCAAGGGCAGAATTGCCACTGTGGAGTGAGTCAGGTTTACTTTTACCATAACCACAAATGTCAAACCACACTAGAAGCAGAAGAGGGACTGAGCACTGCATGGTATTCGTCGTCAGAGCCCCCCTCGTCCATGTGGCAGGATATCTTTGGACCTTGTCTCTTCTCCGCCTGCATCTCATTTGTGACTCACACTGGTGAAAAAATAAAAAAAACCGGTGACAATGTCCGATGTAAAACTAATATGTACTTGTACAAGTTTCGATGTACTCCATACACGGAACACTAGATTGTACTAGTGATGGACTAAATTGCCGGAACCTTCTCTCGGGAAGCAGAACTGGCTAGATCGGTATGACATGCAGCACGGACGGTCTATCATTGCCATTGTGGATTCCCTTCATATCCCTTGCGTCCTTAGATCAAGAGGTTCGCAGAGTTTTCATTCTACACGTGTGGAAATGACACCATTAGAACAATGTATGTAGCAATGTCCACTTGAAAACCATTCGAAACTATAACCGATAAAATCCAATACATCCTGGACCCTGGGTCTTCCGATCTGTTCGAAATGCTATATTGGGCCGGAGTGGATATCTTCAGGCTAAGAGGCTGAAAAATAAAAAGGAAAAGGGCTCCGCTCCAAATATAACTAATGATCTCCATGCGGCTCCAGTATTGTTTTCCCACTTCTCTTTACAGTGACACCTTGGATGGGCATTACCGGTCTTCGCATCCGGTCTGGGAGTAAGAAGATGCCGTGCGTACCGGGAAATATCTGAATTTGGATTGCATGGAAAAACAGCCAACAAGCTTTGCTCGCATATCGAATTCATCGATCACGTTGACGTCGCCAGTGATTTCATTAATCTCGGGGAAATAAAGGTCAAGGGGGCCCCTTGCTTCTGCGAGATGGCATCAACTCCTCGAGATGTTCACCGCTCTTTTGTGATAACCGAGTGCTATTCCGGGGATGAGGGAAAATCAGTCCAACTCTATTTACCAGTTCGAGGGGTTTCTATCGGGGGTTCAAGTGAAAGATAGGCGACGGAAACATTATGGAAGTTTCGTGTACATCGTACATCGGTATACATGACTTGCATGTTGATCATACCCCGGCCTTCTTTGTATGGGACATTATTCGTCGGTTCCAGATAGCCTTTGTTTTCGTTGGGCTTGGCACACAATGAGTAAGTAGGATTGTCTGATGTCGTACGAAAGACAATAGTCATGCAAGTCAAGTGTTCCCGTGGATATTCAAGGCCAGCGTGCTACTGGGGTGCTAAAAATCTACAGTGTGCTTGATTGGGGACTGTGGCGCCTCTTCAGGTTATCGGGGAGTGGGATGCTGCCCTCCCGGATGAAGCTCCCTTAGCCTTGCCCGTGTGGAAGGAAAGGTGGTTTTCAAAAACATATGCTTTTCTATCAATTATGTCCACCTAGCCTGATTAATATTCACAAAGATAAATACAAGTCTACACTTTAGTCCGTACCAATACCCCAATCAAACCCAGATTATCCCCAAGTCGACTCCAACCTCTCGGCGTCCTAATTCCTACGGAGATAGAGCGCAATCCACCCAAGGATTCGATATCCCGCAATGATGCCCAGAAGAATTCCAACCCACTTCCCCGTTTGGCCGGTGGAGTACCCGTACGATTCTAGCACCCCAGTGCCCCGAATGAGACATTGATCCTCTAGGTCAGTAGACCACATGCACCGACAATCGGCACCACACGAGTAAGTCCGCTTAGAGAACTCATTGACCATCATACCCTGGAAGACATAAGCCTATTCCAAGTACCAAGCGAGTTAGTGATCATTCAGAAAATACAATTCGGATAGCAGTGCATCAGCATACCTGGTAATCGATGTAGTGGAACACGTATTTCCAGAACGGATTGAGGATCGTCTGCGTGACCATAAACCCTCCGACACTCATCCAAAGTCCGTTTGCGAATGCGACAAGTGCCAAGGCAATTACAAAGTTTGGAAATACCGATGTCACGAGAACCACTAGGGATTCAGCCGCCACAAGGTCAAGGAATATCCACATCACCCAGGTGAAGAAGGCTTCTGCAGTTGGTTGGAAATTGGAGAGCCAGTAGGAGACAATTGAAAAGAGGAGAGATATCAAAACTGGATACATTAGAAAGCGGACATTGTGGCAGGAAGTGATGAATACATACACAGGTAGGGAAGGCCAATGATAAAGTTTGAGACCATGAATGGTGTCACACCATATAGTCCGTTGGCTCGTTCTTTGGTGAAAATTGCTCGGTCTTCGAGGAACGCGGGGACGTATGCTACCGCCATGAAAGACATGAATGCGGAACCAAAGAACTATATCCCATATCAGTATCAGCATCCATTCAATTTACAACATATGTAAAACCCACAATTGCGTTGATAAACGGCTGTATAGACTCTTGGGCTGGATGCAGACGTAGCCACACTGTACCCATCATGATAGCCAATCCTGTGCCACATTAGCTCTGGTAAGTTTTGAAAGGAAAATGACGGTTCGTACCAAGATACATTGCGATCCGGATTCCATAAGCAATGACATCGCGGTAGGACTTGACAAATGAGCGATGCAGCAGAGCTACAGTAATCGAACCCGTTCCCGCTCGATCCGTTTCTTCCATGGAGTCTTTATTGACATGTTTCTCTGCCGAGAGTACACGCTCAGATACTTGTCGCGTTCCTGATTTTGCCTGATTCGAGTTTGCCCAGGCAGTCTGAATGGTCCCGAGTCGCTCCTCCGCCAAGTCCTTCGAGTTGTCAAAATCAGAACTCACAGTCTCCAAGAGAAATTCAGCAGGGTTGGTATTCGCGGGAATTGGATAGCCAATGCCACTGAAGTAGCTCTCCACGGCCGAGATTGCTCCAAAGTAACATGTTTTTCCTGCCGAGAGAAGCAGCAGCTTATCGAAGAGCTGAAACGTGGTGGTTGATGGTTGATGGATACTCGCAATGATGAGAAGCTATAATGAACAATGTTAATAACAGCAGGGTACCCATCTGATATGAACGTACGTTATTGGCCTGCGCGAGCTGCTTTGCATACGACATCACCTCAAAGCTGGCGGTCGAGTCTAGGCCGCTTGTAGGCTCATCCAAGAACAAAATCCTTGGATTGGTGATAAGCTGACTGGCCACACTCACACGTCGCTTCTGACCACCACTGATGCCCTTCCGGATCGGAGTGCCAACCAACGTGTTTGCCTGGTTCTGGATACCAAATGCTTCCAAAAGTGTCCGGATCCGATCCATGCGTTGGCGTTTCGATACAGAGCTTGTAGATAGGAGTGGTAAGTATCGAGATGTGTAGGTGATATTGGACGGTTGTTATTCCGACTTGACATACCTGGGCAACGAAAGATCCGCCGCGAACTTCAATGTCTCCCGCACCGTCAACGACCCGATCAACACATCTTCCTGCTCAACGTACGAGGTCACCCGCTGGAAAGTCCGCGAGTCTACCTCAGCATCATTCACGTATGTCTCCCCGAGAACCTTCGCACCAGCTGACGCTGTACGTCGAGCAAGGACGTTGAGTAGTGTTGTCTTGCCACAGCCTGATGGGCCCATTAGGGCAACGAGCTCCCCTGCATAACCAGCGTCAATACGATGGTCTTGATATAGCGTATGGACAAGGATACAAACCATGTTGCACATCACCGCTAATATCATTGAGCAGGTCGCGGGATCTCTTGGTTTCACGATCCTTGACAGTGACCGTTAAACCTTGCCAGGAGAAGTTTCGAACAGTCTCATTCATCAAGAAGTGTCCGCTGTCATTTTGCTCCAGGTCCGGGGTCCTGGATGCGTTCGAGGGTGAGGGATCGCCCATGCTGCAAGATAATGTAAACGATTTACGGCAGATACGAGAGAATTAGAATCCAACCCAGGTCTAGGTTCGGGGGCTCACGTTTTATAATTTTGAACACCCCCATATTACATGTACCTAGACCCACGGACTTACAAATCCCTGTCCAAGGTCGAGACAAAGACTTTGTTGTCCGAGGTGGTCCCCGGCTTAGGCTGAATATAGGGCTCAACCTTGGAACCCGTGGTTAGACTCGAGCCCGAGCTGACATAACCTTGGAAGAAGCCCGAGCTGACATAAGATCTCCATGGTCCCCGATCCCCCCAGACGCCGTCCTGTGGCTTCAAGAAAATCCATGAGCCTAGATAGCATCCCCTAGATAAAATTTCACAAAATAATGGCACACTCGCCCATGTGGGGTACGTGGGATGATTTCATAGATGTGTGCATGTGTGCACGAGTTCCAAACCCCGGGCTCGGGGATCTTCCAATGTTTTCCCCCTAACAAGACGGCATTCAAAAAAGCAAAGAGAAAAAAGAAAAGAAAAAAGTGAAAATCTAAGAATGATTTGGTAAAAGAAGAAGCATACAATGCCATTTTTTTATTCGTCCCGCTCTTGGCGCCCAATGCAACTAAATTAAAATCAAGGTATACCAGAGACACCAGTCTTTGAAAAATACTGAGTGAAAACACCACACAGAAAATTGAGTAAAATCAAGCGAATAAGCCGAATTTACATGCTAAAAAAAGATGAGTCAATGATTGCTTTTTCAAGAAGAGTGGGGAATACTAACCGCTGAACAGGGCTCAGACCAAGAACCCGCATGCCATTGTTGAGCACTTGGCGGGCCGAGGCATACAGCGCCATACGTGCCTGCTTGACATCGGGCTCGCTACCAATCACCTTGAGCACATCGTAGCTAGAGCTCAACATGTGGGTCATGCGGAACAGATAGCTGAGGACAGTGATGGGCTCAAGAGTCTTGGAAGTTTGCAGGAGAACGTCGGGCCATTGGGCCAGCAGGCGGACCAAGTCGACAGCATGCTGCTCGGTCAAAAGATCGAAGTTGGCATTGACCAGCTCGTTCACATCCAACTCGGACTTGCGGGCCATGGAGCACAGACGAGCGTGAGCGTACTGCAGGTATGGGCCGGTGTCGCCCTCGAAGGATGTCATGGCATCCAGGTTGAAGTCGTAGCCGTTAACACTGAAAGGAAACAAAAGATTAGTAAACGGATATACAAAAGTAGGTGAGGAAGGGGAAAAGAATTCTGTACATACCGCTTGCCAGTCATATCTTGCACCATAACGGAGGTGATACCCAGAATATCGGCAGTCTTCTCAGGATCCTCGACCTGTGCGTACTTGACATCGTTCTTCTTCATGACCTCGTGCATCTTGTCACCGACATCACGCAGGATGTCATCCAAGAACTTGACAGTACCCTTACGGGTACTCATACCACGGACCATACCGAAGTTAATGTGCTGGCAACGGGAGGCCAGGTCCTTGTGGCCCATAAGTTCAGTGACCTTGAAGAGCTGAGCCAGGTGAAGATCCTGCTGGGCGGCAACAACGTAGATCATCTTGTCGAAGTGGTACTCGTTATCACGCTCAGTGATGGCACCGATATCGCGGGTCAGGTAAAGAGGAGTGCCATCCTTGCGGACAATAATAGCCTTGCCCAGCTTCTTGGCACCGTGCTTGGTGAAGTCGACAATAACGGCACCTTCGGACTTCTCGGAGACACCGGCCTCCTCCATAAGCTTGTAGGCATCGGTCATGCTCTCAGACTTGATTTGAGATTCACCGGAGTAAACATCAAAGTCAATGTTGAGACGAGCATAGGTCTGCTTGTACTTCTCAATACTGAGATCACGGAACTTGCGCCAGAGCGCCAGAGCCTCCGGATCACCGTCCTCCATGCTCTTGAAGTAGCGACGGGCCTTCTCGTCCTCGCTCACGTCCACAAGCTTGGCAAGCTGTGCCTCGAGCTCAGCAACATCCTCGTTCTTCTCCTTCTTCGTCTTGATCTGTTCCTTCAGCTCCTTGATAGGTCCATCCTGCTCACTGACCTGACGGTTGACCTTGACGTAGACATCGAACAGGTGGTTGATAGGGTCCTTGATAAGAGCTTCCTCATTGCCATAGTCCTTGAAGCCATTGGCCAGCAAACCATACTGCTTACCCCAGTCACCGAGGTAGTTCATTTTGATGACATTCCATCCCATAACAGTGTAGATATTGGCGAGGAAACCACCGATAATGGTACTGCGCAGATGACCAGCGTGGAAGGGCTTGGCGATATTGGGCGACGAGAACTCGATGATGATCTTCTTCTGGCCCTTGGAGGGGTCGGACGGGTCCTTTTGACCCTGGTTGCCATTTGTTCCATAGGCGGCCTTCTCCTTCAGGATACGGCCAAGAACATTGTTGGTCAATGGCTGACGTTTGCAGAAGAACTGAATATGAGGACCAAGCTGAGTTGGGGGGTGAATAAGGTCGGAGGCGGGGAACTTGGAGACAAGATCTTTGGCGAGCTCCACGGGGTTTTGCTTAATTTGAAGCGAAGCCACCTAATTGTATGCAACAAGACATTGTCAGTCCAAGGCCTCAATATGCGGAACATGCGAATTGCGCTTGGCATGTGCCACTACCTACCGGCAATGAAAGGTCACCCTTGTCCAAAGTGCTGGTCCAAGCAATGCGCGGGTAGATCTTCTGAGCATCGATACCGCCGACTTTGCTCAACTCCTCCGCGATGTGCTCGCGGTAGATATCCATCGGGTTCAGTGTTGGGAAGCATCCTGTGAATTGAGATGTCTGCGCCGTTGATTGAAGCGAGAGAGCCTCAACAGAGGCGGGAAGAGAAGCCGACATGATTGAGAATCCTGTACCGAATGCGCGTATCAAAGTCGGAAAAGTTGAAGGTTTAGAGGGGCAACGCAACGGAGAAAAAATGGCTGTGAATCGCCGAGCCCCGCTTAGACAATGACCCATAAAGAGGGGGGGAATCTCTCGGGAATCTTTTTTTTTTCTTTTTCCTTTTCCCTTCCTTCTTTCCTTTTGACTCACAGTTGAAGAGGGCGGTGAATCACGTGTGATAACTTTTCCCACTTCAGGCCCGCGGGCGGTTGCTATCCTTATCCTTATCTTATTTAAAGAGATCAAATAGTCACGTGGCCATCCAGCCCTGGGATCTTTATCAACTTCATAGCTCATACTACATAGCTCATACTACATAGCTCATACTACATAGCTCATGTGGCCACTGCCGTTTTCTGTATTGGTATAGAGGGATGGCTCAAGGGCTGCTGATCTTCTTAGTGAACTCCAAATATCTTCTCCTTCGCTCGATAAATGTAGTTATATTTCAATCTACTACTAGTATGATCTGACTTGTTTCTCACGTCTGAGGTCTTGGGAGAGTCTCTTTCTATATTTTATTATCTGATCTCTGGCACCAAGGCAGCAAGACCTTGCTTAGTTGCTTGTACTGACGCAGACCTCCCTTTGTCCCCATGAAGTATATAAGAAGGTGTAGTGAATCTATCTGCTATATTTGTGTTCATGGGCTTTTGCTGACCTTTTTATCTTTCTGGACTAATCAAGAGCCCATCCAAGGCGATCCTCCTAAACTTGAGACGAACACTAAGCAGGCATAGAAAAATACCCGTATGGGCGAGGAAGGGAGGTCTATAGTTCATTCTCTTGTCGATTCTTGCCCTTGTGCCGCAATTTCACTGCCCGGAGTCTCCGATATCACTTCAGAAGGGGGAACACGGTATCTGAAGGTTATAGGCCTTGGTATAATTGCAAGCAAACAATGTATACAGAAAATAATTTCAAAGCTTTGTCTCCTGATTCATATTCATCAAAGACTTGACAATGGGATCAAACATAATGTCTTTGTCCTCGCCAAAGGATCCAAGTTTTAAAGTCGGTCAGTTCCATGTATTTATTGGGCTTCAATCCCCACCATCCATTCCACCAGCAAAACAACACTATCCGGGGACTGAAGAGGTGGACGGAATCACCTTCCACATGTGTCGCCATCCTAGAAAGATCAGGCCTCAAACAAGCTAAGGAACTTCAGGAGCTAATTAATATGTCATATTACATTACCATCCACCACGGGTCAGGCGTGGATGAGAGTCCTGGGAACCTATGGGTCAACCTCTCTTTCACTATCAAGGAACATTTTTATCTTCGCACTGACGGGGCACTGATTTGTTATATGATGGAACGTATTCGGGAAAAGAAGTTCAAACTTACTTCCGAACCCTGGGATCGACGATCTCGGTGGTGTATCTCGATACCAGTCTCCAAGATGCATGAAACCAAAGATGGAGCTGCTGCCGACGCTTTGCAACTAGCGGAGTGGTACAGGGTCCAAATCCTGAATGGGAATGCAACTATCAACCGCGAGCTCCTATTTGATCGGAAGCCCTTTTATGACGGCAAGGAATGCTGTAGAGGTAATGTCTGCGATCTGATTCTGCATCCGGAGTGGTGGCTCCCAGACCCTTCTTCGGACGCTTCTTCGGACCCTTAGTATGTTGTTTGGCTGACTTGAATGAAAATATAATCTCCACGTCCGTGAATTTTGCTTGATAATGTGACCAGTGCTCGTTCAATGTTTGAGAGCTTTCGGAGCTCTATAGGTATAAGCAGCTAAAGAGTCGTCTTCTAATATATTAATTGTAGCGGGCAGCATCACCTGGGGAGGTTCCCCCCGTTAGGAAATCAAAGGACACAAGCCTAGCCTACTTTCGTAGGTATAATGCGCAAGACATAGCCTACTAAAATCGTTGAAGATGGTGTGTTGCAATATGTAATATACAATACACGCAAGTTGTACCGTCATACTTCGCGACATCCTTGAACCTGGGGATGAATGCAGGACCAGTCAAAGCTACAAAAGTGTATATATTCTACATATCGGAGTGAAAATTTCTGTTACGCCCACGCGAGATTATGTCTCTGGCAAGGACAGAGGTAGGAGATATTATGTCTCCACTGCAGATCCACAGCAGAAGGGTGGAGAAGAATACGCGGCTGAAGAAATATCCAGGCCTAATAATGATTGCTATGTAACAGTTATTATTATATTAAAATGTTGGCCTCGCTTAGGAGCAGATCTAGAAGTCTATCAGAACTCATTACCGAGCCTCGTTTATTGATTTGAGATTGGGTTAATATCGATATCGGCTAATGACAAAAGTTATAGATCTGACCGCGAGCTAAATTGTAACTATAGCACAAGTCAACCCTAACATTACGGTTTCTTTGCAAGGTGGAAAGGGCTAGAAAGTACATACATGCTGGAATGAAGTTGCCAAACTGACGACTACCTGACAGATGATTATATAGGATCCTATTTCCATAACAATATCATGCAGGAGCAATGGCTCAGAGTGCTGTACGACTAGAATCTAGAATCTGGGGCAATATTCATCTAGGGATAGAAAGTAAACAGTTTATTTCTCTTTATTGAACGAAAATATTGGAATCTGACTAGACAAAGGCAGTGTATCAGACAAATTCGGTGGAGTCGCGAACCAGTAATATTTGCATCCACACCTTTTGACATCTCGTGTGTTTCAATGGTTCCGCTCCACCAATCGAACTAGACCTTCTAGATGTCACCAATTAAGCCTGTTTGTTCCTATTGCACGCCCATCGCACTCCACAGTTATGTCAAATCGTACGAGCACCAACGCCTGCATTTCCAGCTGCGGGTCCGATGGCGATGAGTGTCTCGTTTACATATAACCTGTGTGGGCGCTGTCCTGGCCGCATGGTCTCAAAAATGTGTTCTTTCATTTCTGTCTTCACTCAATCTGGTCACTCCTTCTAGCATGGGTCTTCATACTAGCTTCCCTGCCTACGGGGGTCGCGGCCCCAGCGACCTTCGCCTCGGTATTGCTTTGGGCACGATTGCGACCATCTTCACAGCGTTGCGTGTTTATGTTCGTATTCGAATGAATAAATTTGGAACTACTTCCCTCATATGGGCCCTTGTTGCTTGGGTACGAACATGGCATTTTATATTCAATTAAGCAGATACTAACCCACTCAATCTAAATAGTTGTTAACGACGGTCACACAAATATTTGCTGTTATTTCCATTTTCCATGGCCTGGGAAATCATATTTCAATCGTGCAGGAAGTGGGCGATCTACAGAGTTATCTTTTGTTCACTTGGATCACGGTCTTCTTCTTCAATCTGGCTATTCCAGTTGGAAAGGTAGCGGTTGCTGCATTCTTAATCGAATTGAACTCGCAGAGCAGTATGTAATCTTCATTTCCTCCGCTTATCTTATTAACTGACAGTTACCTTCTTGATAGACCCCAAAATACGACGCAGTCTCATCGTCGTCGCCGCTTTGAATATCATTCTCAACATCCCTCAGGTCCTCATGGCCTGGTTCCAATGCACTCCTCCGAGTGCGCTCTGGGATCCGCTTCGCCAGAACCAGTGTGATCACACAAGGAGTGTATACTATACCTACTTTGTCGGCGCGGTGGCTGCGGTCTCTGATTTCTATCTCGCCATTATCCCCATTACCATGTTGGTCCCTTTGCGCATGGACCGGAAGTTGAAATTGGGGTTGAGTTTCCTTATGGGATGCGGTAACTTTGCCGGTGCTGCTGCAATTATCAGAACGTGGGCAGCCAGGTTCATTATGGGCGATGACCCTTCCCGTAAGTCACTCCTTGCCATAATATGTAGTTAGACTGAGTGGTTCGCTAAACCCACAGATGGTATGGGCATCCTCTTCTGCTGGGGTGAAGTCGAAGAATGGCTCGTCCTCATCACCATGTCCATCCCACCAGTCTGGCCCCTCTTCCGACCTCTAACCAACCAATTCATCAAATACACAAGCGACCGAAGTCAGCCTCAATACAAGTACAATGGCTACGGCCAGTCTGCTCCAACAATACGAGGACAACAATCCGATGGACCAATCGTTACAACCACTATTTCCATTTCATCCCACAAAGGGGCAGTAGCGGCCGATACCGTGGACGACGAGGGGTCCGACTCCCTCTCCAGATACGAGGAAGAGCCTGAGACATCTCAGATGCCCCTTGGCCCCAATGGGCACCCAGAAGGGTGGGTGGAGATGTCTCAATTTAAGGAGCAGAAGCGCACTTGAATGGATTCAAACTTTATTGTGTGCAACATGCTCATTCATGAAGAACAAATGACGGAGACACTACATATACCGTATTTGGCCTCGTGCCTATTTCATGAGACGAGGGAAATATACTTTAGTATTTGGAATGCTCGAGTCCACCAGACCCGCGATATACCAATGTACGACATGTCTTCTTCCGTAAAGAGATAATATAGAATAGCACGTCAATGTATGAATTATGAACATCGTCTTCCTGGCCATCATCTTTGTGGCAGCCAGATTTCACTTGGCCTTGACCGATGCAGTCAACAATATTCAACGCGTCGAGTGTACACATGTGTACAAAAATGATGGAAATCAAAGTGGGTAATATGTGGATAAATTATACAGTCCCCAGGCTATTGACGTCGATGAAGAACATCCAGATATGAATAACAAGATCTACGTGGATATTTCAGGTTTGAGCCCCGAAGGACACCTTTCAATCCCTCGTAGGCTGAGATCTATTCACACATCTAACAACACCAACCAGAGATTAGACATCAAAACAAAAATGCTTTGTGGCCGGGCCCAGCTAAAATTCTATAGCCGATTCACATTCACGTATATAAATGGCAAATGGCAGAGACAAGCTCGAAAACAGCAACTTTTTGTTCGCAGCGAATCCGTTAGAAGCAGAAGACCTGGTCCTCCAGCTTGCTGACGGGGCGCGCCTTGGTGTATCCAAGAGCCTCGGTGGACTTCTTCATGGCGCTGACCATGGGAGGGGGACCACAGAGGAAGATCTTAACATCGGCAGCGGGGGCGGGCAGGCGCTCCTATAAGAAAGTTTAATTAATACCGATGTAGCACAGCCGAGCACAGTACTCAAACTTACCTTGATCATATCGGGAGTCACGAAGCCGACACCGCCGGTCCAGCCCTCGGGCGGGTTGTTGAGAACGTAGTAGACGCGGAATCCATCGTCCTCCTTCTCCAGCGCCTCGAGCTGGTCCTTGAGCAAGATGTCATCGGGGTTGACGTTGGCGAAGATCAAATCAACCTTGGTGGTATCGTTACCACCGTTGCGAGGACGGTTGCGGATAATAGCCTTGATAACCTGCAGCATGGGGGTGATACCAGTACCGCCGGAGATCATACCAATGTGACGGCACATGTTGGGGGTATACACCATGGCGCCCTTGGGGCCGCGGACCTTCATGTTGTCGCCGATCTTCAGTTCGGTAAGATACTTGGAGATGTTACCCTGGGGGTAAGCCTTGACGAGCAGATCGAAGTAGCCGGCCTCGTTGTCGGAGGAGATAGGGGTGTAAGAGCGAACAACCTCCTTAGGCTGACCGGCGATAGTAGCGGCAAGAGAGATGTGTTGACCGATGGGGAGGCCGAGAATATCGGTGGAACGGGGAAGGGCAAAACGGTAGATGGCGACATTGTGAGAGATCTCTTTCTTCTCCTTGAGGACGAAGTCTTGGAACTCGGTGGGGTTCAAGACCTTGCGAGGCTCCGCGTTTACTAGGGTCAGGTCAGTTACTCAGCTCCACCCCGATAGATAAAAGATGCACGCACTGGTGCTGAAAACCAGATAGCCAGCCAGCATTACACCGAGGGCAATTGCATAGGCGATCGACTCAGGCTTCATGGCGTAAACACCCGCGATGAGCACGGCCGAGGGCGCGAGACCCATGCCGATGGTGGCGAGACTTGGAGGGATCAGCCATTGTTCGATATAGTAGGTGTTAAAGAGGTGAAGAATATTAACTCACCTCATTATGACAGAACTCGGATACTGTAGTTTACAAAAAAAAGAGGAGCGATAAAGGGAGAAAAAGAGAAGAAGAAGGAGAAGATAAAAGAAATGAGGGGACCCGTTGACGGGCTCCGCCCAACGGAATTTCCCACCTTTTGGGGTTACGATTTCCCCGGCTTCCTGTTGACTACTTCTCCTTGACTTACTGGGGTCATTGCCTGATTACACTTTGTATATCTTGTTTTCAAAATCAAAATGCCTAAAGTACCAGCAGTCCCTGCCTTTAATCTGACGGAATTGGACCACAAGCTCCTGGCCATGACCGACGAGGAGTTTGTAAACCACGACTGGGAAGACCTAAAAAGCATCATCGGTAAGTGTTCCCATCTCTCCAAAACTGCCCGAGAAACAATGCCCCTCATACCACATATTGTAATAGCGCGGAATGACCTCGGCGTACTCAAGCGGAAGCCTTCCGATCTCCGCCGATACCTGGCCTGGACACAAGAGACTAAAGCCCAGTATGGCACGATCATGAATTATATTTGCCAGCAGCGATTAAAGTGGCATTTACCGCAAAACACTGCCATCGGGACCGCTGCGGCCTTTAAGAACCCGCTTCCCTTTGCCGATCCCGAGGACTACAAGATCCTCCGCAATGACTGGCCGTATGGGGTCACCCCCGGAATCTCACATCTCGTCGTGTGGCTCCGCACTCCCATCCCTGTACAATCCAGTGAGGGCCATTTGACCGATGAATCTCGTGCAATGATCAACACTTTTGTTCGAAAGACTTTCGTGGACCGTTTGGCTAAGGATCCTCGAAATTTCTCGGACCCTGAGTCTCACGTGCTGTGGTTTAAGAATTGGGTTGGTCTACAGAGCGTGAGGGCATTGGAGCATGTCCATATTTTGGTCCGTGATGTTCCCGAGGATATCGTATTCGAATGGGTAAACGAGTGAGGCTTAGAGGGGATTGTTGATAGGTTCTTTTGGCCTAATTGGTCAGGTTTTGCATCCATCGAAGCATTTTACAACAGGAAGCGTTTCACTACATTGGACATTTCACAACGTCATTGAGCAAAATGAAAAAGAGAAATAGTTAGGAAGAGCCCAATGGACACCAGCGGTAGTAGGACACTCCTAGAGGCCCTTCTACCACGAAGGCCGCGGTTCGTGATCACCTTGAGGTCTTGCCCCATACTCAATCTTTACCTGATCCGTGCGATGAATTTTGCCGACCACATGGGCCTCTTTCTGGAGCTGGTCCGAGTTCAAGATACTTTCCTGACTACCGCTTCTCGTAGTCTCAATATTCGTGGTCATGAGAATATCGTCGTCCTCACAAGTGTTGTTTGATTTCTTCGTCGGCCTATCCGTGTAAGAGCGCATCTTGCCACTGTCATATCTCCCGTGAGAACTCCAGGAACGTTTGCCTCGGATCATTTCGTATATCGGACCCAAGGTTGGGATGCAGGAGGCCATTATGATGATGTTCGACTCGACACTGATAGACGAGAGTCAGTCATAAGTCTTATGGGTTTGTATAAAGAATGACTGAAAGCATACCTTGTCCAGATAACAAGATCTGCTGTTGCGTCTGTTCATGTCATGTCAGTGGTAGATATCTCGTTTCATGTAAAACAACTTACATGTCGAGTCCGCCGTATTGTATAAACCTGGCAGCTGTAGACACTTGACAATAGCCATTGCACAGGCTCTGTGCGGACGATCAGCTACTTGCTCCAGACAAGAATACGAACCAACTTACACAGCGCCCAACCCCAGTGCCGCGCACAGGGCCAATTTCTTCTCAAGCGACATTTGAAGTCTTAGCAATACCACAGTCGGATAAATTGCAAGATATAGATCAACTACCGCGGATAGAACTGAGAGAGTTTTAGTTGTTTGTTTGCGAAAGGCATACCAATCAACATACCTCCAGTAAAGATTGCATAGCCCACCAGGATTGTGGTCGAACGGCATGTTGCTCCTTCGGCCATGAGATGGATCTTCCATAAAGCCTGGGGAGGATCACACATGGTGAAAAGGACGATGATGCAGATAGTCGACGCGACGAACACAGAGGCTGTCAAAATCCATAGCCATATTCGGTGGAATCGGCTGGGGTTCATGATGCGATTTAGGAGAGCAGCGATTGCAAGTTTTGGAGTTGTGAAAGACATGATTCCTAGCGCAAAGTTTGCATAATTAATGACTAGGATGCGCTCTACCAAGTCCATGCCGCCTCGTTCCATCAATACAGAGGTATGGCTCCCGTAGCCCAGAAGGACATTCACCGTGGTGAGAACTGTATAACTGGTGACCATGACCTATAGGATTGGTATCTGACGTATATCAAAATTAATCGGAATGTACATACCATTGCTGCCACGATAATATAGTCATCGAGTCCAGTGTTCCTTAACATCCGGGCTCGGATATAGAGTCGCAATGATACCATCACCACACTTACACTGAAGAAGGCCCAGAAAACGCCTAGAATGCGCGGGCCCTTTGTCTGGTTCATATACTCAGCGTCCATTGTTGCCATGATGCCGAGAGTAGTGGCTGCTCTGTTGCGTATAGGAGATTCGCGACAATATCCTCTATGTATGGCGTCAAGAGGACTAGCAACTGCAGTGTAGGTGAGGAGTCATTGTTAAAGCTAAAAAATCGGGAATAAACTATCTCTTCAAAACACCCATTACTCCGTACCGCTGCCAAGGGGTTTATGTTTAGAGAATTTGACCAGTAGATTCTCCAGAAAGCAGAGAGATCAAGCCTCATATTGCAAGTGGGTAAAACATGTATAACTGACTTTTGGCCCCCAGCCACTATGGCCTTAGCGCGCTTTCATTATACGAGAAGCTCTACTTTGTAGTTCGTATATACCCTTACTTAAATGCATAGTACACATGATATCCTAGTATTTATGGATCTAGAAAGCCCTAGTCCTGCTAACTATGACCTAGAAAGTGATCCTTGCATATTATCTTATCTTCGGTTCCTTGTCAAATTTCTACGAACTAGTGCGTAAATTCCTCGTGGGGACAAGAGCGATCGCCCTGCACTATGTGGATCTCGGGAGCTTCCAATGCTGCAGGATGTCCTCGGTCCGGACAATGGCTTTATGTATTTAATAACTTGCGGGGTTCAATAGAGCCAATTGACCAACCAATTTCTGCCCAAGGTCGCTTAATGTGGGATAACATATGATACTAATATCAGGATAGTGTTCTTGTCAGGGGTTCGGCTATTCTGTACCCGG